AGCTTTTCATTATGAAAATGAAACTGTGTCCACAGGGTTAACAGAGGCTTATGACTAGCAAATTATTACCCTGTTTTACAGAACAGTAGATAAGAAACAGCTTGTTAAAAACCCCCTCTGCTTGTAAACTCCCTTCACTGATAAAGCAAGCTTTATTTTTAAAAGCTAGCTTTAATTTGTGTTTTTTTTCTCTCTCTTTAATTTCATACCCTGCAAGCATCACATAGCCTGGGTAATATATCACAAGACTCCTTAACCACCCCTACAGATAACACCTTTGAAGTGTGGGTTGCTATAACAACGGGAGCTCAAGTTGTTTCTTAGGAACTTGGAATGAGTTCATGTTCTGTTCAAGCTGGCTAAGACTGGTTGGGACCACTGACCCTAAAACTGGGCCCACACAGGTGTCCAGTGAGCAGCCTTTTGACGTAAGAGGGTCAAAAGTCCACCATCAGATCATGCTAAGCGCCTGCATTTTTCAACATACATCCCATGAAGAAGTGTATAACTGAGATATGGCCACACAGAACACCATTTACCTTAACTTTTCCTATCTCTAATCACCTTCCCCCATGCCTAAGATCACCCTGTTTCTTTTTTTTTTTAATTTTGGCTGTGCTAGCTCTTGTCATGGCAGGTGGGATTCTCCAGTTGTGGTTAGAGGGGCTTATTTGCTCCCCAGCATGTGGAATCTTAGTTCACTGACCAAGGATTAAATCCATGTCCCCAGCATTGGAAGGCGGATTCTTAACACTGTACCACCAGGGAAGTCCCCCACCCTGCTTCTTTATATCTCAAGCCTTCAGAGAAGTGGATCTGAGATTTGTTCTCCTGTCTCCTGGCTTGGCTGCCTTGTTAATGAATTCTTTTTCTGCTGCAAACCTCTGTGTCTTAGCATTTGACTTGCCATGCTTTGGGCAAACAAATCTGGTTTGGTAACAAAAGCATTATCAATGTGGCAGGGGCTGGATATTGGTCATTCCTTATTTCCTTCCTTCCTCCATGCAGCTTTTATGGATGGTCTTTGCATTAGAGCTGTACTAGGCATAGGGAATACCCACTCCAGTGTTCTTGCCTGGGGAATCCCAGGGACGGTGGAGCCTGGTGGGCTGCCATCTATGGGGTCGCACAGAATTGGACACGATTGAAGTGACTGAGCAGTAGCAGGCATAGGGAATGGATCAGGCTTGAACTCCATCCTGGAAGAGTAACCAGTCCAGTGGGTAGAGAGTCTAGAAAGCAAATATTTATGGAACCAATTGTAATAGAGGTAACCAAGCCTCAAAGACAAAGAAAGAAAAGATTAATTCCACTAAGGAATTAATTAATTAAACAGGCTTTTATTCCCTCCAAAGTAAAAATACTAAGTTTTTTCTTATTACAAAAGAAATACATGCTTATTTCAGAAAAATGAGGAAAAATATGGAAAAGATATTAAAAGCATTCCTTTCTCACCACCAATACAACATACTCAATCTTTTAGTGTATCTCAAGAGGTACTAATACTAATGAAACTGAATCCTTAAAAATGAGTAACTGGGAAAAAAAAAATCAGTAGCAGATATTGGTGAAGTTTTTTATTTAAAGGCCTTCACCACAGTCTCTGGAATTTTAAAAAATTTTATTAATTTTATTTATTTTTGGCTGCACTGGGTCTTCATTGCTTTGTGAGGGCTTTTGCTAGTTGTGGTGAGCAGGAGCTGTTCTCTAGTGCAGGCTCAGTAGTTATTGTACAGGGCTTGGCTGCTCTGCGGCATGTGGAATCTTCCTGGACCAGGAATTGAACCCATGTCTCCTGCATAGGCAGGCGGATTCTTAACCACTGGCCCACTTAGAGAAGTCCCAAATGTACTGCTCTATGTGTAAAATATCTCACAATTAAAAAGTAAATAAATATAATATCTAGTCAAGGATTTGGGAAGACTGGTTTAGATATTTTGACTCCCACTAAACTAAAATTCAACTTTTAAGAAATGCTGACAATAAAATTAGAACCGTAATCCATAAAAAATCTTGTCTTTATTTTTTTCCAAATATTTATTTATTTATTATTTTTGGCTGCATTTTGTCTTAACCAGGGATCTTTCCTTAAGATGCATGGGCTCTGTAGTTTTGGTGTGCAGGTTTAGTTGCCCCGAAGGCATGTGGGATCTTTTGTGTGTGTGTGTGTGTGTGTGTGTGAGAGATTAAGCCTTTTTTTTCCCCCAATTATTTTTATTAGTTGGAGGCTAATTACTTTACAATATTGTAGTGGTTTTTGCCATATATTGACATGAATCAGCCATGGATTTACATGTGTTCCCCATCCTGAACCCCCCTCCCACCTCCCTCCCCATCCCATCCCTTTGGGTCATCCCAGTGCACCAGCCCCAAGCACTTGTCTCATGCATCCAACCTGGGCTGGCGATCTGTTTCACATTTGATAATATACATGTTTCGATGCTGTTCTCTCAGATCATCCCACCCTCGCCTTCTCCCATAGAGTACAAAGTCTGTCTATACATCTGTGTCTCTTTTTCTGTCTTGCATATAGGGTTATCATTACCATCTTTCTAAATTCCATATAGATGTGTTAGTATACTGTATTGGTGTTTTTCTTTCTGGTTTACTTCACTCTGTATAATGGGCTCCAGTTTCATCCACCTCATTAGAACTGATTCAAATGAATTCTTTTTATTTATTTATTTATTTTTTTTTTAAGTTTTATTAAAGTATAAAGGAGACAGAGAAAGCTTCTGACATAGGCATCAGAAGGGGGCAAAAGAGTACCCCCAAATGAATTCTTTTTAATGGCTGAGTAATATTCCATGGTGTATATGTACCACAGCTTTCTTATCCATTCGTCTGCTGATGGGCATCTAGGTTGCTTCCATGTCCTGGCTATTATAAACAGTGCTCTGATGAACATTGGGGTACACGTGTCTCTTTCAGATCTGGTTTCCTCGGTGTGTATGCCCAGGAGTGGGATTGCTGGGTCATATGGCAGTTCTATTTCCAGTTTTTTAAGGAGTCTCCACACTGTTCTCCATAGTGGCTGTACTAGTTTGCATTCCCACCAACAGTGTAAGAGGGTTCCCTTGGCATGTTGGATCTTAAGACGTTCCCTGGCCAGGGATGGAACCTATGTCTCCCGCATTGGAAGGCAGATTCTTAATCACTGGACCACTGGGGAAGTCCCTATGTGTTGTTTACTTTTTAAGTAATTAATTAATTTTTGACCTGTACTGCAGGGCTTGTGCGATCTTAGTTCCCCATCCAGGGGTAGAACCTGAGCCCCCAGCAGTGGAAGCACCGAGTCATAACAACTGGACTGCAGGTGATTCTCTTTTTTTTAGTTTCTAAAACTACAAGTTGCATAAAACCACAGGAGTAAAATAGATTTATAAAAGTACAAGTCACAGGTGGTAGAAAAAAATGGTTAAAACAAAATCTGAAATGCTATCAACCAATTTAAGCAATCAGAGATCAACCCAAGTTTCAGCCTCATGCAAACATTTAAAATGTTATCATTAGAGGAATTAATTTAATGAATTTAATTTTCATTCTGGATATTAAAAACAGTTTTTATAAGCCTGTCCCTGTTTAATGTTACAACGACAATTTAAGGTTTAAGATTTTTTTTTTAAATGATGGGGTGTGCATCTACAATGTAAGTTTTTCAGATGTCAACTGGCAGAAGCTGGCCCAGGGGACTCAGGGCCTGTTGTGATAACCAACAACTTACCTGTTTTAAATTGAGTTGCCAAAGGCACTATTGTGTTGAGCTTAGTAAATGATTTGAGTAAAAATACGTAAACAAATTGAGCTGAAATCAAATAAAGTCTGAGTTTTGACCGAGGGTTAAGGAAAGGTGGAGAGGGGTGGCGTTTTCCAGGTAGGGGTTCAAGACAGAAAGAGCAGTAGTGGAAAAGGTAGAAACGTTGAGTATGCGGAGCACATTCCGGGAACACTAAGTAACCTGGTGTGATTGGGGAAATGGAACCTCAGCTGTAACCTGGTGTGATTGGGGAAATGGAACCTCAGCTGTAACCTGGTGTGACTGGAGGGAAATGGAACCTCAGCTGGCCAGACCATGGAGTTACTGCTCTGAGCATCCACTCCACGGAATCTCTCAGCTTTCCCGTTTGTGCGTGCTAATTCGCTCAGTTGTGTCCGATTCTATGCGACACTATGGGCTGTAGACCTCCAGGCTCCTCTGTCCATGGGATTCTCGAGGCAAGAATACTGGAGTGGATTGCCATGCCCTCCTCCAGGGGATCTTCCTGACCCAGGGATCGAACATCTCCTTACATCTCCTGCATTGGCAGGCAGGTTTTTTACCACTAGCGGCGCCAGCTGGGAAGCCCTGTGCCCCTTTACTCGGCTTCTAACCCATTCTCGGTTAGCCTTTCCAGATCTCTGCTGGCTCCGCCCCTCTGACTGTGCCTGTGGCCCCGCCCCCTAGAGAAAACCCTGGCCACGAGGTGGAGTCTCGAAGGTCTGCTCACCCCCCCCCGCCTTCTTATAGGCGCGCGAGGCTGCTAGTTGGCACCGTTTGATGACGTCACGGTCATTGACAGAGAAGCCGCGGCCTTCGCCAAAGTAGCTAGCGGCAGGGTAAGAGCCTGAGTTGAGGTACTGTTCAAAGGGCGCGGCGGGAAGACCGGCGGTTTGTAGCCAGGGCGGCGGGTTTGCGGTCTGCAGTGTCGTGAGGCTGGAGGAGGAGTTTGGAAACCCATCGACCTGACTCCGGTATCAGGGTTAGGGGGCGTGTTGGAGGGTAGGCTGCGAAGGGCCGGGTAGGCTGCGAAGGGCCGGGTGGGCGGCGTGGTAGTCCGGCCTGGGGGCTAGCAGAAACCTTAAGGTCGGAACTAGGGTGAGGGTGGCGAATGCTTGGGGTCTGGGCAGGGAGGTTATCTTCAAGGGTTCGGCTTTGGCGATGGGTGGACCACAGTCAACGAATCTCTCTCCTTTCTTTCTCCCGCTTGCTCCTGGTGGCTCACGCGGGCTGCAGGTGTAGCATGTCTAGTCTGGGGACCTTGGGTGGCGCACGCGCCGGGCTCGGACTGTTGCTGGGCACCGCCGCGGGCCTTGGATTCCTATGTGCCCTTTACAGCCAGCGGTGGAAACGGACCCAGCGCCGCGGCCAGAGCCAGAGTCGGTCCAACTCTCTGGACTACACGCAGACTTCAGAGCCTGGACGCCAAGGTAGGAGCGGGGCTATTGAGACCTCAGGGACGGTTGAGGGGTGGGCTTGGGGTCGGGGCTGCTTGTAGCAGAACCTGCGGGGCCCGACAACAGAGAAAAAATTAGTGGGGGGTGGGTGCGGGGCCCAAGAGTTTCTTTTCAAGTTTGGGGAAAGTTTATCGAAAAGGAAAAGCAGTCTTCCTCTACTGTCGTCTTTTTCCTGTAATCGCAGGAAAGTATATAGTGAAAAGGCTTAGCTTTCACTTTTAGTTCTGGCCGCAGAAGTGCTGTGTATGTATTAAAGTTACTTGCTTAGTGTGGTTGAGGTGTTTAATAAGTAGAGGAAAGGCCCAAAAGAAAGTGACAAGAGAAACTAGTCTTGGAGGAATTAAAATTTCTTGAGGCTTCTGTACTAAATTAGGTGAACATTAACATTCGAAGGCGCCTTGGAGACTATAGTTCAAGTTGCGTGTGTTTTTTTTTTTAATCCTTCTTATGAGTAAGTTGAGATTGAAAAAAGTTGTGTAACTTTCCTGAGGCTGTCACAGTAAGTGGCAGGATTGGGCCTGGTCACCTGGTCCAGTAGAGTTCCCACAGCATGGGGTCGGGAGTGCACTTACTGCAGTTGAAACTGAATATGGCTGGGAGCCAGCCACAAATGGTTAGTACTTTCAGTTTTGGAAAACTTTAATGTTAACCCATCAGAGCAAAGCATCTAGGGCTCGGCCAAACCACTCCCCTCGTGTGTGCGATAGAAGAGCACTCAAGTCATCTTGCCTCATGGTCATTGGGAACACGTGTTTCCTCTGATGACCGAATGCCAGATGGTTCGGAAAAGTTAGTTTTTGAAGAGTCTTAAGAGTTTTCACCTTAGATTGCAATTGTTTGTCAGCATTTTATAAGCTGGTGGTAACCTAGTGCTGCAAATGTGCTTACCCTTCCTTTCTTTTCCTCGTATTTTATTTGTTGGTTTGTAATTTCTTAGCTGTAGTCTTTGTTCTACTGAGGTTGGGAGATGGTGGCCACACTCCCAGGGATCTTTCTTGCTTTACATACTGGAACATTGTTGGGTCTGTACAGTAATCCAGCCTTTATTGTTACTAGATTTCCTTTAACAGCTTTATGCTTGTTGGACTGTGGGTTTCTTTCTTGTTTTTACATTTCTCAGTCCACTTGTCTTAGGTATCAGTTTTCTAGCGTTTACTTTTAGAATTTACTTAGATCTCAATTCAGGGCTTGGCAGTGATGTTTTTTTCCAATGGGGTTTGGGTGGGTTTTTCCTGGTGTACCTTTTCTCTCAGTAACTGCCCCTGTTTACCTTGCCACTCTTTGATAATACTAAATGAAGCTCTTGAGAGAAAAGAGTGTTCTTTGCTATTCTTTGTGAAGTGCAAGATCAGAATTTGAGTAAGCTCAATTTCAGTTTTGCTGTGTGGTATTGACTGCCTGGGATTTGGGCAGCAGGGCAGCTATCCTGCCTTCTAGATATTGCACTCTTGTGAGCTTTCTACATTATCTGTCAAGGTGTACAGTGCTGATGAAGGGCCCTGGGTGCAAGGTTTTTGGAATAGAGGGCTCTTGTAGACTTTTTTTCCCTTTTGGCCATGCTTGCAAGATCTTAGTCCCCCAGCCAGGGACTGAACATGGACCCTTGGTAGTGAAAGCATGGAGTCCTAGCCACTGAACCACCAGAGAATTCCCTGGAGAGCTCTCGTTTAAAGATTGGGACCTTGATTTTTTTTTTCCTCCCCCCTGGTTTGTTACCTGGGACTTGTGAATATCTGAGCCTCAAAGATCTTTGTAAATTGAACTCCAGTGAGAAGCAAGTGTTCTTGAATTCTGGGTGCAGGATCATCTCGTCCCTCTATCCCAGGGGCCTCACTGTCTCCTGTCCTCCTTCCTCCAGTCAGGCCATTGCGGGCAGTCCCGGGTGAGGCTGGCGATGCTGCAGTGCTGCCAAGCCTTCCACGAGGACAGGAGGAGGTCCTGGATCGCCTGGAGTTCGTGCTGACCAGCCTGGTGGCGCTGCGGCGGGAGGTAGAAGAGCTGAGGAGCAGCCTGCAGGGGCTTGCTGGGCAGATTGTGGGGGAGGTCCGGTGAGTATTACAGCCTTCCTTCCTGCCTTGGCCCTTGCACCCTAGCGTTTCCCTGCCCGGACAGCTTTCTCAGCCTTTGCTGTCTGTCTGTAAGGACACAGCCAGTTTTCTGGCTTCTTGCCTCACTGGCAGGGAAGCCATGTGCTTGATTCCTTGCTTTGCCTGAATTCTTGCCTTTGGGCCCTCGGGGTCTGTTGCAGCAGCTGAAATACTTTGTCCTGTTTAACCTGGTCTGTTCTGTAGGCTGGGTCCTGCCATCTGCCCTTCTTGCTCTCCTGAGGGCAGAGACCCCAGAGTTTCTCTGCTTTTGGCCCTTTAATGAGCAGCAGTAGTAAGAGGCTCCCTCATGGTGAGGGGAAAGGCAGGCTGGAAGGGCCTAATGGCACCCTCTGGAAAGAAGCTTGCTTTTCAGATCGCATATGGAAGAGAACCAGAAAGTGGCTCGGCGGCGAAGGTTCCCATTTGCCCGGGAGAGGAGTGACTCCACCTGCTCCAGCTCTGTCTACTTCACGGCCGCCTCCGGAGCCACATTCACGGATGCTGAGAGTGAAGGCGGGTGAGTCATCTCTCCTGGAGACAGCTGTGGCTTCAGCCAGGTTACGTTGTGTAAAAGTAGTGTTTAGAATGAAAAATTCACACCAAGCTGCTGCAAATAATTTTTAAAACAAGGTAAGGATATAAACAAATGAAATACAAAACAGTTGAAATAAGAAAAGCCATCCACCATATGTCATCCTGACAAATGGAAATGTTAACAGTAGTTAGTATTTGCATCTGTTATTTTTCTCAGAGTAGGTTTGCTTTTTACCTAATTATTAGATCCTTTATTTTTGTTTTACTGTAACGTTGATTGGGTGGTTTCCTGTTATCATGAGGACTTTGTAAGCTTTGTCTTAATGACTGTATTTCCTTCACTGAGTGACTGGGCCAGGTCTACAGAGCTGTCTAAGCACTGAGCATGCTCCCTCCGTCGGGAAGTTCTCTTCCCACAGGGGAAGATCTGCTTGTGTGCCCCTTCCCTCTTCACAGGTGGGCAGTGACTCAGCTGAATAATTGGTGGGCCAGCAGGTCTGGCCATAGGCCTTACTGTGAGATAGGGCTGCAGGCAGGAGTCTGGTGGAACCCCCAGGGTGGTCAGGCTGAGGGCTTTTTGGTTTTAAACCACTGGTGCCATTTTGAAACTTCTGTCCCACGAATGGAGTCTGAATGAACATCTTTGTTGCAGTGCTTGATGCTGTTAATAGCAGCATCTGCCCTTGTCTGCTTCAAGGTCCAGTCATCCAGGTGGCTCATGTGAGGTCTAGAGGCTGGTCTCTCTTTGTGGCCTTTGCTGACCTTTTTTCCTCCTCAAGGAAGAGACTGGTGAAGTGAGCAGTCAGGCCTGACCTGTCAGGGCAGAATGACTGGTGTAGCTACAAATGAGTACATGGAAACTAGAAGCTAAACTAGTCATTCATGATAATCTTTGCAGCATGTCCCGCTTCAGCTGAGACACTTCATAATATTAACTACAGTTTATTCCTCCCTTGTGACAGACACGGTAGAAAGCACTTCAGAGGTATTTCCTCAGTCTCACAAAGTTCCTATGGAGTAGGTGATATTCTTTGCCCTGCTTCTCAGATGGAGACCTGAGGCCTAGTGAGGTTTAATGCATGTGGGCCCAGGATTGCAGAGCTCCTAAGTGCAGGCTCAGCCAGGCTCATCTGCCTTCTGAGGCCTGGTTTGGTTATCAGAGCACAGAAGGGCCTTCACGGGAAGACGTCACCCACAGCCTGGGACAGTTCTTCCTGTTGACTGAGACCTGCCCAGAGCAGTGTGGTCTGTTCAGTAACTCTTCTTCAGAAGTGTCAGCCTTTTTTTCTGCACTTAGTTCCCCAACCGGGAATGGAACCATGCCCCTGCTGGAAACTTTAAGTCTTAACTACTGAACCACCAGGGAAGTCCCTCAGCTTTGTGTTCTTGTTTAAACAATATATTCTCCTATCTTTCTTCATTTGCTTTTCTAAGAAAAGTAAGAGACGTATTAGTCCTTTTCCGTGTCAGTGCCATTGGGCATCTGTGCTGAATTTGATTATTGCTGAGGTGCCTCTTGAAACAGTGAAGTCTTGGGGAAGAGCTTTGGTCCTGTTGCCTGGATGGTCTGACTCCTATTATCTCAAGGGCTCACAGAAATGGCTGTTTTCTGTTCGATTTACCTAGTACCTGTGAGCTGAGACATGCTTCCAGAAGACTGTATTAGAGGGGGCAAAAAGGAAATTAATATTTGACACATCTGGATTAAAAAGAAAGGATAAAATAGTCAATAGTGGGCCCTGAAACTTAAGGAGCATCTCTAAGCAACCCAAGGAAGCCAGTTACTTGACATTTGAGCTTTATGAGTGTGGAACCTAAGGACAGGTCACAGCTCTGCCCAAGACTAGGATAATAGAACTCAAACCCCTTCATGATAATTTTAAGAAATTGTACAAGCTTCTGGGAGCAGCACGAGTCAGAATGATTAACCAGGGAAGTTTATGGGTGCTTCGTAGCTTGGGGTGCTCACTGGGGCTCCCACAGCCGTACAGGGCAGACAGGGCTGCCAGCTGCCTCTAGCAGCTGGAGAGAAAGGGTGGCTTCCTGGATAACAGCTCCAGCAGGCTCAATCTTGTGACCGATCCTGTGGCATGTGGAAGCCGATGGTCGTGCATGGTGCAAGACTGGGTTAGCCGACTCCTGTCTGGAGCAATGGCCGTGGTGAATCATTTGTTTGGTCAGGGTCATGGTCAAGGGAGAGGAGACCAAGTTTTGGGAGTCGCTTTAAACATGTGGGCCCTGGGGAAGGAGAGCTTTGAGGGATGAAACAATAAGACTATTTGATGGGCAGCTCTGCTCCATTGAAAGCTGTGTTCTCTCTTTCTTCCAAATAAAACAGCTCCCAGGGGATCAGCTGAATGTGCCAGAGTCCGAATCACTGGGTGGGTCTGTGAGCTTGTTCCCAGAGCCTTGTTCCAAACACAGCTTTAGTTCCTTCCTTGCAAAACCCAGCTTGCCCTAATACCAGCTCCCCTGCCAAACCTGTCCAGGCATTCCAGCCAAGAGCCACTGCCTGCAGCCTCACTGCCACTCCTCCTCGGGCGTTCGCTTATTACCTCGTTCCTCTTGGTCTTATCTTCCCCACCACTGTGGGGTCTGGGCCCAGGCCTGCTTGTCTTTGCCTCAGCTCAGCACCTCTGATGGGGCTTAGCAGTTGGAGGAAAGAAATGTAATTGCTGGGAGGGCTGTGTGTATGAGTCCTTGATCCCTGACTTGGGGGCTCTCCTTAAGGAGCAGAGTTGGCCTGCTTGCTGCAAGGGAGCCTTGAGTCCTTGCTCCACAGTGGGAACAGTGTGTCTAGCCTGAGTGCACAGGACCAAAGGACCTTTTCAGAGGCCTGTGACTCATCTCAACAGTTGCCAGGCATGGTGAACAAAAGGGCCACCCCTTTTTCTCTGGTGGATTTCACCAGCGGCTGGGTACGTGGTCCAAGAAATGTGGGAGAATGCTGTGACACCAGCTCTCACTGGGTGGCAGCAAGGTCCCCCTGACCTCTCCTTTTCCTTGCCCATGTGGGTTCTCCAGCCTTTAGGGCCCAGCGGGATCATAGCACTGAAGGACCTTCCTCCTGGCTCCATTCCCTGGAGACTTGAGTTCAGGCAGGATGAGAGGGGTCGCTCCCCATGTGCCAAGGCAGCCTTCAGCTGAGCAGGGAATGAGTGGGGTCTCCTCTCCTTTTTGCAACGTGAAATGATGAGACTCAAGCTTGCACCCACCAAAAATCCATTTACTCATTTTGCCTCTGGGCCTGGCTGGGCTGAATAGGGGCTCTGGTAGCCACTTATTTGACTTTCTGGATGGGACAGGTTATTGTCTAAGCCTAGGACAGTTTCTCTAGGCTGCCCCTGTGTGGTCTTGCTCATCACCACCCAGGTTGGTTGTGAAATCTGATACCACTTTTTCTTGTCCCTTTAATTTCTAAAGTTTTTACTGCAAATTGCTTGAGGGGGGAGATACTTCTATAACCTCTTTAAAAAGCAAGGTTAGGAAGGTTTTAAATACTTTACAATTTCTTGTAATAGATGTTTCTGGAGCACCTTTGTTAAATGCATCTGAAAGCTCCTCTATAAAGAAATAGGATGGATGGACTGGACCCCAGGTTTGGTTACTTGCTTCCTCCCTTGTTCTCTCTGGCTTTCCAGATGAGGAGGACAGCACTTGCGCCTGCAGTAGTCAGCCCCCCTGACCTTAGACTGTCTTGTTGTGACTTTGTTTTTGTCTCTCCTTCAGGTCTGATTTGCTCCAGCCACAGGGATCCTACCTCTCTTTAATTTCAGGACGGAGGAAGGCTTATCCTTGTCACTCAAGGATCTTCCCTGTGTCTTGGAACCTGCTAGCTTACACAGAACCTGCTTTTAACCTGGGGGCTCTTTGGTGTCTGGTTGTGACCCCTGGAAGCCTTATCTCCTGCTCTGCTCAGTTTTTGTCTGACTCGGCAGTTGGGGAAAACACTATCATTAGCTGCTGGTGGAGGCAGAGATCCAAGAGAAACAGTGGGTGCAATCAGAGTTGGGCTCCCCAGGAGACACCTGGATGGCGGCCCCACAGACACCTTCCTAAGGGATTGTTTGCATCTTCTGCCTTTCCTGCTTCCAGCTGCAGCCCTCCCCTACTCCCCCCACCAACTCCCAAGGTTTCCAAGGGCCACTCCTGTTGTGGTTGAGGTTTGGTTACTGACTTGGGACAGAGGTATACATTGAATTGAGAAAGAAAATATGTATATCTGTGGCCACCCACGGCCACAGAGGCTGGCATCCACCCATGTTGGTTCTGGCAAGTGCATTTGGCTGATAAAGCAAAAATGATTGACAAACCCTTCCCCTCATGAGCCATCGAGCTCCACCTACTTAAGGTTTTTATCTTAAACTTTTATAACTTTACTTATAAGAATATACGCTCCCTAAAGCAATCCTATCTAATACTAAAATATAGGGGGAATATGAATTCCTCTGCCTTGAGAGGTCCACTGACATTTTGTTGATACCTTTCTAGGCTTTCTCTGTTTTCTGGCAGACGTGGTGGTAGGTAAGCAGGGGATTCTCATATCGGCCTCTGACTGTCACAGGGCTCCAAGTTGGTCACTCTTCCCCTCCCAGATCATTTCCCCATGGTTCCCCAGGAAGCATTCTCTGAGGACTGAGTGCCCCCTCAGCGAGGGGCATGGCTCATGGTCAGTGCTGATGACCGCAGTGCCGTGGAGGAGGCTAGACCCCTGGTGATCTGAGGGTAAGTAATCCCCTCCCTTGACCTTGTCACTTTGTTTCCCTGCCACAGTTACACAACAGCCAATGCTGAGTCTGACTATGAGCGGGACTCTGAAAGGGAAAGTGACGGTGATGGGGAAGATGAAGTGAGCTGCGAGACTGTGAAGATGGGGAGAAAGGACTCCCTGGACCTGGAGGTGGAGGTGGAAGTGGTTTTGGGTCCGGAGCCTGAAGCCCTGGAGGCTGGGGGCTCCCCTGGCCAGGAAGATGTGCTGCCCCTCCTGCAGCAGGCGGACGAGCTGCACCAGGGCAGTGAGCAGGACAAGCGGGAGGGCTTCCAGCTGCTGCTCAACAACAAGCTGGCGGTAAGCCTCCGACGGCCTCTGTACCTTGCCTCCCCCTGCTCACTCCCATGAGTCTGTCAGTGACCCTGCCAGGTGACATGGGAAGGGAAATGAGGGTGACTCAGCGAGTTTCTGCATCTGCCCTCAGGGTCCTACACCCTTTTCCAGGGAGGCTGAGTTCGCCCCTAGGGGCCTGTGTACTCCCTGTCCCAGTGCTTCCTCCCCCACCACCCGCTGGGTAGTTGGCTCTGGTAGAGCAACTGCAAGAGCTCTCGGCATAGCGAGAAATGTGGAAAGAACTGGAACTTTTCCCCTTTTATTTCCCTGAGGCAGACCCACAGCTGCCTGCCCCATTTGAAGTTTTCATCACCAGTGACAAGTGTGTGGGTCACTCAATCACAGTTCCCTTCTCAAGTTCACTGCCAGAATTTATGCAGAAAGACTGAAGGCGGGAGGAGAAGGGGACAACAGGATGAGATGATTTGGTTGGGTGGTATCACTGACTTAATGGACATGAGTTTGAGTAGGCTCTGAGAGTTGGTGATGCAGTCCATGTGGTCGCAGAGTCGGACACGACTGAGTGAACTGAGCTATAAATGCCCTCAAAGTTAGAATTTCCCTTTTCTTGGGCATTTCCACACTCTTGCTGTGACTCATTCCATGTTGGAGTTGAGCTTTCCTCCTCACAGCATTAGGAGGCCAGGATGCCTTCACTCTGTGGGTTGTGCAATCTAATGACTAGAGAGAATGTCACCAGCTAACTGCAGGTGAGAGGTCATGTGGGATGGCCTGATATCAGTGTTTACAAGACACTCAAAGGTAGAATGTGGGGAGAACGTCAGGGCCCCGGTTCTCTGTAGCTGAAAGAAGGGAGTCTCATCTCTCTCTTTGGGTAGCAGCATGGAAGCCGGCAGGACTTTCTCTGGCGCCTGGCCCGGGCCTACAGTGACATGTGTGAGCTTGCTGAGGAGGCGAGTGAGAAGAGGTCCTATGCCCTAAGTGGTAAGTGCTGACAGCCTCCTGGTGCAACTGACTGATTCTGAGGGTGGAGCCAGCCCAGCTTGGGGCCCAGGGGACCCACCAAGACACAGACTATCAGGGCAGCTGGGGCTCAGGTACTCACCAGGGACAGACTAGCTCCTGGAGACAGAGAGCAGTCCCTGCTTTTCTGCATGGCATGGGGCTTGAGTCACACAGGCGTATGTGACTGTAGTACAGTTGACCTTGAACATCAGTGATTTGAGCAGCACGAGCACGCACAACAGTCCATGGTTGCTTGGGCCTGAGGATTTGTTGTTGCTTAGTTGCTAAGTTGAGTCTGACTCTGCAATGGCTCCTGTCCATGGGATTTCCCAGGCAAGAACACTGAGCTGCCATTTTCTTCTCCAGGGAGTCTTTCTGGCCCAGGGATTGAACCCTTGTCTCCTGCATCAGCAGGCGGATTCTCTACTGCTGAGCCAGAGGGCTGACTATAAGTTACACGTGGATTTTTGACTGGGCAGAGGACCAGTAACCCGTGTGTTGTTCAGGGTCAATTGTAGTTGTTTCATTAGCACAATTCTTTGTCCTAATTCCTTAACTACAAAGGGCAAAACCTCTCTTAACCTAAGGAGAGTTTCTTTTGCTGTTGCTTAGGAATCTAGTTTCAGTTATGGAGCCTGTCGGGCAGGTATTTAAGAATGTAATGAGTGGAGTACGTTTGGTGAGTGCCGGGAAGGAGTAGTTTGGGTGAACATCACTAGCTTAGAAGTCCCTGGGGTCTACCTAGCAACTCTGTTGTCAAAATCTGTCCTGGGGGCATGTAGGGTGCATCTAACTTGTGCCATGTTCATGGCCTGTCTTCTACTGTCATGAAGTTGTTAAGAATCCTGAGATTTTTAAAGACTGGTTTTACGGGGAAGGTGATGTGTCCTGCCTAGCTACATACCCTCTGAGTGAGGCACCGCCAGTGGACTTCCACATCTTGTAGTTCAGTTATCCAGTTAACTGTCTGCCTCCCCACTTTTATAAGTACAGCCTTGCAGACATTGAATTTTTGATAATGTAGAGTCTGACAGTACCTCAAGGTCGTTACTCTATAAACTGTTGTAGAATTCTGCCAAGACAGAAAGGTCAGTTGAGTTCAGTGTTTGATCTTCAGAAAAATCCCTGGAAGTTGTAACTGAAGGTACTCAATTACTGTCTGCTTCTTTTCAAAACAGTTTCTGCTACCTTTCCTGTGTTTCAGGTGAGGATTCTGACCAGCATTTGGGGCTGGTGTCTGGACTCTTGATGGAAACAACCACCTTTCCTTTTCCTTTTTTTTTTTTTACTTTCTTCTTTTTTTTTTTTTTTACTTCTTTTTTTTTTTTTTTACTTTTTTAATTTTTTAATTTTTTCATTTATTTTTATTAGTTGGAGGCTAATTACTTTACATCATTGCAGTGGTTTTTGTCATACATTGAAATGAATTAGCCATGGATTTACATGTATTCCCCATCCCGGTCCCCCCTCCCACCTCCCTCTCCACCCGATCCCTCTGGGTCTTCCCAGTGCACCAGGCCCGAGCACTTGTCTCATGCACCCAACCTGGGCTGGTGATCTGTTTCACCCTAGATAATATACGTGTTTCGATGCTGTTCTCTTGAAACATCCCACCCTCGCCTTCTCCCAGAGTCCACAAGTCTGTTCTATACATCGGAGTCTCTTTTTCTGTTTTGCATATAGGGTTATCGTTACCATCTTTCTAAATTCCATATATATGTGTTAGTATACTGTAATGGTCTTTATCTTTCTGGCTTACTTCGCTCTGTATAATGGGCTCCAGTTTCATCCATCTCATTAGAACTGATTCAAATGAATTCTTTTTAATGGCTGAGTAATATTCCATGGTGTATATGTACCACAGCTTCCTCATCCATTCGTCTGCTGATGGGCATCTAGGTTGCTTCCATGTCCTGGCTGCGATGAACATTGGGGTGCACGTGTCTCTTTCAGATCTGGTTTCCTCGGTGTGTATGCCCAGAAGTGGGATTGCTGGGTCATATGGCAGTTCCCTTTTCCTTTTGATCATCTCTCAGTACTAACAGCCAGCGTGAACCCTGATGTGGAGATGGAGTAGTGGTTAGAGAAGCAGCTGTGCCCACACTGGTCTGGCTCCCTGTAGCACCCCCCAGACAGATCTGTTTCTTCTGGAGGTCAGGGGACTATGGAGAGTCTTTGAAGGCTCTGCTCTGTGATTCTAACTTTTTAGGACCATTGTTGGTGGATCTAAAGTTCATTTTGTGTTGCCTCTAGAAGCTGGACCATCAGGAGGCTGCAGAAACTGGTTGCCTCATTCTTAACCGCTCTTTCCCTAGTGAGTGAGTGCTTTGAAGGGGGCAGAGTGAAGTCCCCTAAGAGACAGTGTCCCTCAGTGGTAGAGCCGTATGGTTCTTCTGCTTGGATAGGGGAACTGTAGGGTTCTTGTTCTCTTTAAATGTATTTGTTGCATATACAAAATTATACCGTGATCACTTATAGATGAGGAAACATTTCAGATTAGCCAGCCTATCACCTCAACACATTACTTTTGTTCCATTCTGTGTTCCCTTTCAAGCCCTCACCATTGAAAAATTCTTTTTATTATTTCAAATTTTTATTATATAGTTGACAATATTTCAGAGGTATAGCAAAGTTACTCAGTTATACATATATACTTTGCAGATTCTTTTCCATTATAGGTTATTACAAGATACTCAATATAGTTCTCTGTGCTATACAGTAGGTCCTTGTTGTTTATCTATTTAATATATAGTAATTCATATCTGTTCATCTCAAATTCCAAATTTATCCCTCCCCCATGGTAACTAGTTTGCTTTCTAAACTGTTTTGTAAATAAGTTCATTTGTATTTTTTTTATATTTCACACATAAGTGATGTATGATATTTGTCTTTCTGTCTTACTTATTTCACTTAGTATGATAATCTCTAGGTCTGTCCATGTTGCTAAAAATGGCATTATTTCATTCTCTTCCATGGAAGCCCTCTTGATTCTAATCAGATGTCCCACTTCACAGTGTTGTTTTCTCCAGTGTGTAGGTGTAATGGTCTCATCTGGAGGGCTCCAGCTCCTTGACGTTCCAGGGTACCCTTGTCAAGAGCCTGCATGTGTTTAGGCCTTGATTTCTGTTAGTTTTGGTGTCTGGAAAACTTGGGTAAGGACTACATGAAAGTCATCCTTGGTCAGATGCCAGGTCATTTGGCTCTAGTGAGGAGTTCTGGCCCAGAGCCATGATTACTGTTCCTAGATCATGGTCCTCTTGAGAATTCGATCAAAGCTGTGGACCCTCTCAAGAAAATGGACATATGCCTAATATTATATACAACTTCAGTGGGATTCATGGACACCCTAAGGCCTGTCCACAGACCCCAAATCAAAAACTCTCCAGGTAATGATCTACTGGGGACACTGTGATTGCTTTCGAGTCCTTTTATATTTGAAATGCTTTGAGCACATCAGGTGGGTGTTCTATAGCTGGGACAGCTGATGACAGAGATAGGAAAAGCAAGGCAAAGTGGAAGTTATCCTTGAAGAGCTATTTGCAGCTCTTCACTCTGACTATTTATAAGTCCTGCCTGGGTGGGAACTGAGAGAGCTAGAGCAGTCCATCTTCCCACAGCCTTTCCCGTGGAAGGGTCACAGGAGCCCGTGTCAACTCTGGATCACCTCTGTCTTACAGGAAAGGAAGCAGCTGAGGTCGCTCTGGAGAAGGGGAATGAGAACGCGGAGTGTCATCAGTGGTAATAACACCCTGCAGGGGCCCAGAAAGAGCCAGCATGGGTTAGAGTGGAGCACAGCCCTTTCTCTTCTCTGCCCTGGCCAAACAGGCATTTGCCAGAGGCACCAGAAGAGGAAGCTCTGGCCTTTATTTCTGTATGTCCCATCCTTCCCCAAGCCAGGGACCCAGGGGAGTTTCCTTTGGGAAGTGCCTTGGGTGTGAGATAATGGAGAGTAGTACAGCTTCCTGTTGAAACCTGGAGAAATGAGTAGCTTTGTTACAAGTCATCCTTGGCTTCAAACTTGAGGCTCCTGGCTCCTCAGGGAGGTTGGGACATTGGCAGTTCCCCTCTCCCACACAAGCTCTTCATTCCCCTAGCTGCGATCCCTGGCTGGTGGTGGACTTTGGCTTCTTCGCTTTGCTGGCATGAGGAAACATAGATGTGAGCTCACCCACAGGAAGTTTGGCAGTCAGTATTAGTCCTCAACAGCATCAGCCCTGTTCGTGATCTCGTGTGGGCAAAATCCTGCCACCTTGTGTGGGTCAGGGCCAACCTGTGGCCTGGAGGCCTGGTTCTAGGCACCTCGGTTTTAGTAAAAGTGTTCCTTTTCCACCTCCCTGCTGCTTTCCATAACTCTGTCCTCAGATTGTGAGCTGGAGAGGCTATGTTTCCCCATCTGTTGCTGAAACTTTGCAGTGCCTCTTTTTAGATGCCAGGTAACTGTTTCTTAGGTGTCACAGGTGTTGCTTCCCTGTGCACACTCTTGGGGCTTCTGGGGTCCCAAGGATGGAAACTGACCTCATCCTTTCTTAGCTTTTTCTTGGGAAACAGTTATTTGGACTAAACTGGAAATAAGCCTCTGGAAGTATCAGATACAAATACCCGTCAATATTTAGTGAGTACACAAAAAAGCAATTTGGGCCTTTAGAGCCTCGTTAACTCTGCTTCCAGAAACAACCCTAGGGGGCTGGGGTCATAAGACCCTTTGTTTTTAAAGACAGAAAATGGGAAGCTGGATGGCTTTGTTCCCCTAGGAGGGTGTGGAGGAGAGGGCTGAAATTGGAGGCCTTTTCTTCCTCTGCTTCTGTTGGTAATTCTAGAGTATCCCCTTCCCAAACAGCTTCCCAGTGACCTACCAGTATGCTTGCCAGGCTAAGCAGACATAATGTATTCAGGTTTCTTACATATTGATGCTGATTTTTAGAGACCTGCTTAAGTTTTTATGACAGCTATGGCTATACTGATCATGAGGGGACATTTGGATTGAGACCTTGTCTAAGTATAAAAGAGCCCACCTTTTTTGTACCCACTGTACTTTGGGGAATTGTGAACCTACCACTATATTTGCTAAAGAATATGAATTGGGACCCCAGGTTTGTGAAAAGAGGAATTATGTACAGATGAAGTATTGGGCAGTACCATTGGCCATGGGTGGGAAGCCCCTTCCTGGCAGGGATGGTCCTCAGTCCTGTGCCTGAGCGTGCCGCTGCTTCCCCCCCTAGGTATGCAGTGCTTTGTGGTCAGCTGGCTGAGCATGAGGGCATCCAGAGGCGCATCCAGAGTGGCTTTAGCTTCAAGGTGAGAAAGGCTTCTCCTCCTTCCCTGGTGCTGGTCTAGTGCAGATTACCTGCTCCAACCTAGCTCTTTGCAAAAGTGTTCCTACCCGACAGCTCTGTGACTTGCCTCTCTTTCCTTGGTAATTCTGCTCTCTGATGTTACCTTGTTTATATTTACGATCTAGGAGCATGTGGACAAAGCCATTGCTCTCAAGCCAGAAAACCCCATGGCTCACTTTCTCCTTGGCAGGTGGTGCTACCAGGTGAGCTAAATTTCAGGGCTTGACACAAGGGCCCAAACTATCCTGAGACACTGATCTTGCAGGGGAGATCAGGGTCCTTAACATGGTCTGGCTTATGTGTCATTTCCTCCAAACAGTCATGGTAGTGGTGACTGGATGCAGTCCTATTTGGCCCCTTTTTCTTTCAGTACAGAACATTCATTGTTCTTAAAGAAGTTTTTAGTTACACCTTGATCTTTTGGTGGCAGGTCTCTCACCTGAGCTGGCTAGAAAAAAAAACTGCGACAGCCTTGAGTGAAAGCCCCCTTGGTGCTACTGTGCAGGATGCCCTCTCAAGCTTCCTAAAGGTATCAGGGAGGGAAGGGAAGGGTGGACAGCAGCCAGAAAGGCCAGGGTGACCTTGTTTTCCCTAAGGACATTAGTGAATTGGGAGGGGTTTCTGGTAGAGGGCAAATTTATGTGTGCCTGTTCTATGGAAAATGAGAAACCACTGGAAGGGCTTATTAAAAAAAATGTAGACTCACTGAATCAATCTCCAGGTTGGATACTGGAACTCTAGTAAACTTTAGCCTGACTTGGATTTCAGAACCTCTTACTGAAATGCATTCTCCCTTCTCCAGGCTGAAGAACTACAGCCAGGATTTTCCAAAGCAGGAAGGATATATATTTGTAAGGTAAACTCATCTGCCCATTTCAACATAGATGAAATATATGTATGTTGATATTTTTTCTTGAAAGCATACATGCATTCCCTTCTAGTCTCCTGGTGGTATTTCTCCCAGGTTTTCACTGTTGTCTCTTCTCAGTGCTACAAAGAACTAGGGAAAAACGCTGAAGCTAAACAGTGGATGAAGTTGGCCCTGGAGCTGCCAAATGTCACTAAAGAGGTAATACTTAAAAGTTTTTCTAACACAGGGTTCTTTCATTGAGTCATTATGTTACTTTTCAGGAAAGAATATCTTCCCATGGTTCTTATTTCCCTCCAAAAGAGAGTCTGCACTTTGCATATGGGTTTATACATCTCACCTGGGGAGGAGACAGAGTTAGTAGGTTCCAGGTTGTCCTGGGAAAGTGGGAAAAAGACTGGTAACAGCAAGGAAGCAAAGGGCCTATTCTCAGGTACCAATGGTTTAGGAAATGTTTGCTTGGATTTAAAGTCCTAGTCTTATTCTCTTGTCTTCCTAGGATTCAGCTTTCCAGAAGGACCTGGAAGAATTGGAAGTAATTTTAGGAGAATAATCACATTTCAATGGGCTTCATGACTTGAGGAAGGAAAAAAATTAAGTCTTTTCCCCTTAGGTCCTGCTTAGATCAGGAAACTGAGCAAGACTGCTTAAGGGAGTGTCTTGACTCCTAGGTCTGACTGCTGCTTGCTACGATTCCCCAATTTCTTCCTACTGGTTAATTTATTCTAATCCCTTACCTAATCTGAAATTGGGGAAGTACTTGAGACCTAGGTTTCTGTTACTTTTTCCATAAAGTGAGTTCTCAAAAAATCAAGACTAGTATACACCTGCCCTAGGGTAGAGTGTGGATAGAACACTGAAGGCTGCCTTTCAACTGCTGGTGAGTTGGATGAACTCCAGAGAGCTATAGGAACAAAACACAGAATGTGTACTCTCTAATCTTTTTCACTGATTAATATCCAGAATCAAAGTATATACAGTCCTAAGATCACACACCCCAACCTACCAGGGTGGAAGGTCAGGGAGTCCGTGGGTGTTGCCTCTGCTCAATCTATCATGTGGATTGCAACTGTACTCCTGGGCTGAGGGCTGGACCACCTGACTCCCAGAGTCCTGGCAGCTTTTGGAACAGCAGTGCATAAGGCTTATGACTGAAAATGATGATCTGAAGAGTTGCCTGGAATATATTTTGGTACAAATTTGAAATAAATCCAAAACTTAAATTTAACTAGAAGTGATTATAATCCCCTTTCTATGTTTGTTTTCAGCTCCTTATTCTTTCTTGGCACTTAAATAATTGTTTCTTACTGTGAGGCAATTGCAGACAAGTAGAAAAACAGTACCAAATAGTTTAGAATAAGCTCTTTGGTTAAAGAAAAACTGAGACAAGTTTGTAGGTCAAGGTCACTTAAAATACTTTATAGGTCTAAAAGATAGAGATGTTTTTATATAAGAACCAAGCTTTCATTCCAGAGTCTGTCACTGTGGGTTTATTACATCATTCCAGGTTTGCTTTGTGATGGAAAAAAAAGGAAGAAGACTTAGGAGGCACTCTGGTCTATAGTCAGGGAACAGCTGTTTTTAAAACAAAGTTGCATTAAATTTTGTCCTCCTATCTCCTTACATACAGTAGGATCAACACAGGCACTAGCCTGTGATTTGCACTGCCTCTCCACCCAATTCTAGCCAAGAGGCCCTTTGAAATTGGGAGAGTTGCTTAAAACTCACGCTGAGTAGACATGAAGGGGAAGGAGTATCTCAAACCCCTAAAAAGCAGAATAATCTGGGCAAGTACCAGATTTATACAATACAAACCTTAATAGAAACAAAGGCCACAGGAATGCTATGGAGTAGCTATCTTGTGATATTTTCTATGAGTTTAAAGGAGAATAAAGTGAATCACCTGAAGGTGGGACTTCCCGTTTACATTTTCAGTTTTAAAGTAATAGAAACTGATAATTCCTTTCCAGAGCCAAAACAGTATTATGAAGGCCCTACGTTGAAATATTCAGCTTGTACAGAGTAACTCCTATAAACAGCACATTCCCTACAAATAACTACTTTATTAATAGCCCCACATTGAATCTACTAAAGAGCATCTGAAATGATTACCTTGAATTGCTCTTAATATTAAAACAAAATTCTTATGTAAGCTAATTCAGACACACAAACTTAAAAACCTGCTTCTGATTTAACAGTTTTTACTGATGGAGGGAAAAGAACCTGTGAGACGACCCACTCCATTTGCTACATAGCTCAGGTATTTTTTCCTAACATTATTAAGACAGAGAAGTCAGGTATCTCCAGCTTTAGTTAGTTCTCTTGGAAACATAAGAGTGGCCAATAGCAGTTAGTCCTGAGTCAATCCCAAGGCACTATGATGTCAAAGGTATTTCATACCTACCCCCCAAACCAAAGAAATCACATAGAGATTAATATACTCTAGAAGGAATAAACAATTCAGGTCAGCTTGTGACCACTGACCTGTCTCATGTTTACACCATAAGAAAAGCCAATATAATAGCTGTTTTCCTGAAAGCCTCTTGCTGGCAGTCACAACAGGAAGAAGCCTGTGAAAAACTCCAGGGAGCAGTCCTTTCCATTAGTCTGCAGCGCTTAAGGTTTATCACAAGGGAAAAACAATTCAGTCTTTGGCATCTCCCACTCCATCCGCATTGATGGCAAACATAGCTTCAGCTTCAGGAAGACAAGGAGAGTCATAGATTTTGCAGATTCTGGTTTCCCCTCTTCCTTTTCTCAGGTACAGTCTGAGGCAAAGACAGGCCAAAGCACCAAAATTATAATTAAAAAATTCTATTCCTGATCTATTTATGGTGTATCTAAAAGGTTTTTAGACTTATATGTTTCCTAGAAGGATTTTGGGGGATCTTGCTGTATTCCTTAGGGTACTTCCCATCCAGAGAAATCCATTTCTGCTCACCCCCTGTTCCCATTGGATTTCCTATATTGAAACCTTTTTTAAAAAAAATAATGAGACATTATCAATTCTTCAAATGTATTCCTCCACACTTGAGCTTTTAATTCCTTTATGAACTAAAAGCAAACATTAGTTTTAACCAGAGCGTGACAATTAGGTTAAGCCAAGGCTCCTGTGTCTAATTACAGACTAGCGGCTTTAACAAGGTTTAAATGGAAATGTTATGTTCCTGTCTGCCTCACAGTTACTATGACACTGCACAGTGAAGCCTGCCTGTCCCGTCGACTTTACCTTGTTGTTGAGGCATGAGCAATGATGTTTCCTCCAATAGGCTTCTTAGGGTCCGCGGCAAACATGGCTGCTCCATCAACCTGGGCCACCACCTGGTTGGTGATTACCACTGCTACCCCAAACTGACAGGGAGAGCATAAACGTCATTGTTTGTGGTCAGACATTCCAAGAGCCTTACTGATGCCACTCCATCCCCAAAGCAATGAATGACTAAAGTCTCTATATCTAACTGATACCTTGATGATACCAGACCCCAGTAACCTGGCCTCCTGGCAAGGCTACTAGAATTCATAGCTCCTGAAATTAGGCATTCTCTGTCCCTACCCCAAAACTTACCTCATCAGCAAGTCGCAAAAGCATCCGCAGAAACCTGGCCAAGTGCATCTGTCTGGCTGAAAGCTCACCTCGACCCGAATAGTCCGTTCTGTAGAGGGCGGTGGCACTGTCTACAATTAGCAGTGCATACCTACAGGGAACCCAGATTCTCTGAAGCCTGTTTCTAGAAGTCTATGTCAGATGTTGCTCCCTTTCCCACTACCCTAACATTTTATATTTATGGCTACACTTATTTATACAACATGCATTTGAGTTACCCTATAGCAAAATTTCCAACAAGTTCAGGTGAATTATAGTTTCATATTTTAACAGTGACTTAACCTAAATCACAAAGCAAGGGTGTCAAAATAGGAACTAAAACTTGAATCTCCCCATTTCTAATTCAAGCTACTATCAAATTGGCCACAGCCTGTACAAGATTCAAGTCAAGGGCTCTGGGAAAACATGCTCAGTATCTTCTACTGCCCACATACCTGGACTCTACCATCATGGCCGATGCCTGATAAAGGAGCTGGGTCTGGTGGTCTGTGTTGAACCCTCGAGCATATGCTACATTATCCAGGACATCACTGCCAGAGAGGCCATATCTAGAAGAGAGAGCATTTTGAGGCTGCATACAAAACTAAGGCAATGAAATTACCTGAATGGGTAGGTAAGAAGTGATAGTAAGAAGGCTAAAGAATATAATTCCCTTTCTATTAGGAAGCCCAGCAAAACTACAGAGAAAGAACAGCAACTGCATTAGAGTAGATCTGGCAGGACTTCAGAATAAACCAAACCTATTCTTTGAGGACTCCTGAACTAGAGTGAGAAATTTCCAAATAGAAGGAAACAATCCATGTTCTGGAAAAACAAAGGGTAGCATGACAGATTTAGGACTGAAACAAAAACAGTGAATCACTCAAAGATCAATTAAACAAAATCATATAAACTATTGTTGTATAGGAATAAAACCTCCTAAATTAAAAAACCTAAGGACTCAAAACTGTAAGAGTCCTATACTTAAGAGAAATAAGCATACTCCATCTATTCTTCCCTTTTTCTTGCTAGTAACAAGTTATAGAATCTGTGACACGGATCTAGTAGGGTTAAATAAGTAATACCTTAATTCATCTTATATTTCAATAATGATTTTTCACCTTTGCATTAAAAAATACCTTTCTTAGAACAATTTATATTTCCTTACCTTTGTAACTGCTACCTAAGACATAAATACTCAAGATAGTTTAGACAACTTCTCATTAAATGTATCCTAATAGGATCCCATTTCTTCAAAAGTGGTTTGATTTATTCATCTATGAAGACTCAGCTAAATGCCAGTACTTTTATAAAAGCTTCCTTGCATCTCTTGAATAGATGTGATTCCCCCTCTTCTGCACTTCGAGAAAACTTGACTTAGGCCTTTTTAGGCACTTGTGAGGAGCTGCCTGCCGTTCTTTTACTAGACTGCAGATTCCTTGAGGGAAAAGACTGTGCCTTTCCAACTAGCACATTTGTTTTATACCGTAAATTCTGAATAAATATTGCTGAATACGAAGTTTTTAACCATAATCCAAACAAAAAGAGAATCATATGTCATCACTTTAACTCAAGTAATATTTTTATGTTACCTAAAATCATTATAGTTCAAAAGTATAATACTGACTCCCTTATGTAACAGTTCAAAAGATAGCCTGTTGAAATAAAATCTATGTGCTATAATTTCTTGAGATCCAAAAGTTTCTATGCTTAAGAGTTTATCTTTTAAGAGAAGCAATCTATTCTGTGTAAAGATTCTGATCATTACAAAAGCATACACTGTGTCAAACCTACTCTTCTGAGACTTAGCTTTAGTAGTTTTCCTCTCAGTTTTCCTACCCAAAAGAATAGAAAAACAAAAGAATGTTCTAGCACTTGAAATAATCCTGCAATAAGCTGAGCCTCGATATCAGGAGATGCCACTCTACCCAACTGAATTTTCTACATCTTACAATGGATTCATCTTATTTGGCAAACCCAGTCTTTGCACTTTCCTGGACAGTTCACCAGTTATTCTTTGCTATTATCAATACAAATGGAAGTTTAGCTAGTTTTTTTGTTTTTCTTTTTTAAAGTGGATTGATGACGATAAATTTGTTGAGTCTAGGCATGGAGACAAGAAGATGAAGCGAAGAGTTTTACCTTAGGATCATGACCAAATGGGAATAAAAAGATAAAATTTTCTGTATTTAAATCATAACTATAAGATAGACAAAGGACCGAAGAGGCCTAAGTACTATACTAGATAAACCTTCTAGTCTTGCCTCAAGAAACATTGATACAATCTACTATCAGGAATGGAAACTACCTTCTGCTGTCAGAATACAGACATTACTAGAAAAACAAGAGTCATCCTGGCCCTTCTTTCATCAGAGTTCATAAAGGTGATTGTGGGGATCTCTGTGCTTATATTCTTGAAGTAAGTAGAGAATTTTCAATTCCTACAACTTGGAAAAAGCTGGCTGGAAATAAGCAACTTCTCTTAGTTTTTCCAGAACCTCCATAAGGGTAAGAATAATCTGGAACACCTGTAAAAAAACTAAATTCCCAGACATAAACCAAACTTTGAATTACAATGTTCATGGAAGAGTCATGGTAATTTGCATATTTAACAAATACCTGGCACATGAAAAGATGATCAGTATCACTAATCACTAGGGAAATAGAAATCAAAATCACAATGGTTTTATCACCTGACACCTGTCAGAATGGCTGTTCTCCAAAAGAAAATAAGTGCTGCCAAGGATGTAGAGAAAAGTGAACCCTCATGCACTGCTGGTGGGAATATAAATTGGTACAGTCACTATGGAGAATAGTGTTTAGGTTCCTCAGGAAAGTAAATTATCATATGATCTAGTAATTTCACTGCTGGGTATATATCTAAAGAAAAAAAGACTAATTCAAAAAGATATATGCATCCCCATGTTCAGAGCATTATTCACAACAGCCAAGATAAGGAAGCAACCTAACCTGCCAACAACAGAGGAATGGATAAAGATGTGGTATATATATTCAATAGAATATTACTCAGCCATAACAAAGAATGAAATCTTGTCATTTGTAACAACATGGATAGACCTGGAGGGCATTATGCTTAGTGAAATAAGTCAGACAAAGACAAATACTGTATGTTATCACTTATATGTGGGATGTAATAAATATAACAAAACAGAAACAGACTCAAAGATATAGGGAGCAAGTAGTTACCAGTGGGGAGAAGAATGGGGGAGGGACAAAATAGGGGTAAAGGATTAAGAGGTACAAACTATTATATATATTAACAAAATAAATAAGCCACAAGGATATATTGTACAGCACAGGTAATATAGCCGATATTTTATAATAACTTTAAATGGAGTATAATCTATAAAAATACTGCATCAGAAAAAAAAAAAATACTGCATCAGTGTGTTACACACCTGAACTAATATAATATTGTAAATCAACTATATGTGGGACTTCCCTGGAGGCCCAGTGGTTAAGAATCCACCTTCCAATGCAGGGCACACAAGTTCAATCCCTGGTTGAAGAACTAAGATCCCACATGCCGCAGGGCTACTGAGCCCCTGTGCCACAACCAAGACCGGATGCAGGGACTTCTGGTGGTCCAGTGGCTAAGACTCTGATCTCTCAATGTGTGGGCTTGGGTCTGATCTCTGGTCAGGGGACTAAATCTCACATGCTGCAACTAAGACCTGGCACAGCCAAATAATGAAATATTTTAAAAATAATAATAAATAAAAAGCAAAAAAGACCAGATGCAAATATAAAAAAATCAACTATATATCAAGTATTCTATACACACATAAAAACTTATATAGTGCTGTATGTCAATTATATCTCAATAAAACTGGAAGAAAAAAATGGGAATTTTCATAGTAAAAACAAAAAACCTCAGGTGATTAACATGTAAGATTGAAAAACTCGGCTGTATTGCCTCAAGGGAGTTCTGTCATTCTCTCTTTCATAGTATTTTAAATACATTCCAAAAAGGTAGGGACACTCTAGCAAGCAACTATGGCCATGGTTCTCCAACTTAAGCATCCCAATCACCTGGGGAGCTTGTCACACCACTGCTGGACCCTATCCTCAGAGTCTCTTGATCGTCTCTATTTCCGTAGATCTGTAGTGTAATCAGAGGATCTGCATTTCAATTTTCCAGGTGATGCTAATGAAGTTATAGGGAGGACTAGAGTCTTAGAAACCTCTGAGCTAGTCACCTGAATAATATTCTTCAACAGAGCATGGCAAAAATTTATCAATAAGAGTTGTTCTCTTGTGGAAGGAAATTAGGTATTAATTATCTTAGGAGGCCCTGTCTTTAACTTTCTCAGAAATATAAATTTAAATGCAATATACTTAAGTATAAACTCAATTATAAAAATGTTCCTGATAGAAGTGATTAAAATGAATTACATTTCTAAACATTTTTCTTTTAGTTGACAAAGCAGCCATAAACATGGCTCTAATAAATATTAGTTCATTAACAAACATCGAATGCTCTGTTCTAGGGCTTGGGCATACAGTGAATGGTCAAAGTCCCAGTCCTCATAACATTCTATTATCTCATATATCCTATCTGAACACTCATTTATATTACTGGACAAAATCTTAGTGACTTAATCCAAAAGAACTCTTCAACTAATAAAATAGCATACTTTTCTGTAGAACACCAAAATCAACTTTGGGAAGGAATCTACATTTCGATATATTAATCTCTAGTAAACTAAAATCAGGTTGCAAGAAAGTAATTTTTCCTGACAGGGATTTTGTAAGAAGAAGCAAAGGGCTACAATTATTGTTCCAACCTAATTTTATGCCTCAGTGGTGTACATCTGATGACTTGGACTCCTCCAATTGTAAAATGGGAAAGAGAATTCTGTTATAATTATAAAACTAGAGAATTCTCCTTAACTTAGCATGGCAGGTTCCAATGTGAATCTAACATCTCAACATGCAATTAAATTCCATTTAATCACTAGGTTTCAGTAAAATGTGTGGTAGGGATCAAATTATCATATTTGACCCTTGACAAGGGAAAATTAAGGAAAACAATTTTGAAAGTTTATTTGAAAGTTCTATTAGGGGATGTAGGAAAATTACAAATTCTTTTTTTAATTAAAATAAATTATTACTTATTTGGCTGCACCAGGTCTTAGTTGCAGAATGTGGGATCTATTAACAGTTCCCTGACAAGGGACTGAACCCAGTCCCCCTTGCATTGGGAGTGCAGTCTTAGCTACTGGACCACTAGGGAGGTCACGAAAAAATGTACAAATTCTTTACCAGCTCTTCTGAGGTATAATTTATATATCATAAAATCGATGTGCTTTAAGTATAAAATTCAATGACTTTAATAATTCAATTTTAGAACATTTCCATTGCTCAGAAAGATTTCTCCAATCTATCTGCAGTTACTTTCTGTTCCTACTCCCTGCCCCAGGCAACCATGAGTCTACAGTCTCTACAGATTTTCCTTCTGGAAATTTCATAGAAATGGAATTATATTTGGTCTTTTCTGTCTAGCTTCTGTCATTTAGCATGTTGTTGGGGTTTATCCATGTTATAACATGTATCATTACTTCATTCCTTTTAGCTATTTAATAGTATTCCATTGTATGGATAAACCACCTTTTATCTATTCATTCATTAGTGGATGGACAATTGGGTTGTTTCTACGTTTTGGCTATTTAATAATACTTATAAACATCCACAAACAAGTCTCTGTGTGGACGTTTACATACCTCTTGGGTACATAACCAGAGTGTAATTGCTGGGTTATATGGCAAGTTTATGTTTAAATGTCACACAGTTTTTATTGTCAACTCTCAATTCTATTCCATTGATCCATATGTCTATCCGTATGGCAGCACCACACTGTCTTGATTACTATTATTTATAGTAAGTTTTAAAATTGGGAAAACTGAGACCTCCAATTTTGTTCTTTTTTTTCTCTTCCAAGAATGTTTTGGCTTTTCTGATATTTGGCTTTTCTTGATATTTCCATATTAATTTTATAATCAGCCTGTCAATATCTGGAAAAAAGGTTGGTGGAATTTCAATGGGCATTGTATTGAATTTGTAGGTCAATTTGAGGGATCATACCATTTTAATAATATCACATCTTCCAATCCATGAATGTGAAATGTTTCTCTATGTAGATCTTCTTCAGTTTCTTTCAGCAATGTTAGCTATCAGTGTACAAGTCTTGGACTTCTGTTAAATTTATTACTATTTCATTCTTTGTGATACTACTGTGAATGGAATTATTTTCTTAATTTTTGAATTATTCATTGCTAGTATATAGAAATACAATGGATTTTTGCATATTGAGATTGCATCCTTTCAACTAATTTAGTTCTAGTAGTTTTTTGTGTATGTAGCTTCTTAATACCCACTCCAGTACTCTTGCCTGGAGAATCCCATGGACAGAGGAGCCTGGTAGGCTACAGTCCATGGGGTCGCTAAGAGTTGGACATGACTGAGCGACTTCGCTTTCATTTTTCACTTTCATGCACTGGAGAAGGAAATGGCACCCCACTCCAGTCTTCTTGCCTGCAGAATCCCAGGGACAGAGGAGCCTGCTGGGCTGCTGTCTATGGGGTCACACACAGTCGGACACAACTGACGTGACTTAGTAGCAGCAGCAGCAGCTTCTTAATGATTTTCTACACATAGGATCATGTCATTGATTAATGAAGATAGTTTATATTTTCTATTCCAATCTGGATGCTTTTTATTTCATTTTCTTGCCTGACTGCACTGGCTGGGACCTTCAGTACAATGGGAAATATAAGTGGTGAGTGTGGAGATCCTTGACTTATTCCCAATCTTAAGGAGAAAACATTCAGATTTTCACTATTAAAATGCCAGCTGTAGGTTTTGGTAGATGCTCTTTATCAGGGCATCTGATAAATGCTCTATCCATTACTGAGAGTGAGGTATTAGTCCCCAATAATTACGCACGTATTTTGGGGCTCTATTAAGTGCATATATATTTGTTGTATCGTCTGGCTGAACTGACCTTTTAGTTATAAGATGATCCTCTTTGCCTCAATTAGTGCTTTTTTTTTGTCTTAAAGTCTGTTTTGTCTGGCATTGGTATAGCTACTCCAGCCCTCTATGATTACTATTTGCATGCAATATCTTTTTCCATCTTTTAGTTTCAGTCTATTTGTGTCTTTGAATCTAAACTGGTTCTCTGGAAGGCAGCATATAGTTGACCTTGTTTTTTATCCAGTTTGACAGGAACTCACGGGTTTTTGACTAAAGAAGTGTGTTTTTTTTCTAAGGAAGGTTATTCTTTTGAAACACACAAACAACTCTGGGATATGGAGCAATAAGAGAGAGGAAAAGACACTCTTCAGCCAGACTAACCCTAGCAATCACTACAGTGACAGATGGAGCCATATTTCTCTTGTCTGATCCAGTAACCTACCTCTCAGCCACTGCTAGCAGCCGTTCTGGCCTAAAGGTACCTTCGGTGTCAATGTACATGGCCTTTCCTTCACCTCCACCTCGGTCAATGGGAAGCTAGAGAGAAAAAGAACAGTGGAAATGACTTCCTCCTGATGGACCTATAATTGCTTCCACTCCCAGTAAAGCAAAACAAAAAATACTTTAAAGTGACAATAAGATCTAGTGAGGAGACACTCACTTCTGAGAGAAGTACATCTAGTAATAGGTATAGAGTTAATTGTGAGGCTAGAGTTTGGACAGAGTTGAAGAGTGCTTGGAAATATATACCAAAGTAGGTGATAAAATTCCTTTTTTTAAACACATACACTTCTTCCAATTAAAAAAAAGCTTCTATCATTGTATACCAGCAAAAGAATGATCAAGTCTCTCAAGGCAATTTGGAAGATCATTTACTTAGCTTTAATAAGCAAGAGACTCTGATCCAATACCCAATTCATTTTATGATATCCAGACCACACTTAAATGAGCAGAGCTTATATTTACCAAGCAGAGTTCATTCCTTTGGGTTGCTGAAGGAGACTGGCAAATACCCCAGGGGTATCCCTAGCACATTTAATAGGTGTTTGCTCCAATAATACACATAAGATATTGAAAATAAACAAATGTAGAAAAGGAAAAATAATCAGAGTTTAAAAAAAAAGAAAGAAAATGGAGAGGAGTGCCAGGAAAACTGTCTCATGAGCTGTTCAAGGAAATCCGTTTTAGACTACCTATCCCATACCAGATACTGAGTTCTACAAATTTTAAGTGAATGTTGCTAAATGGTAGTTTCCACCCCTGAAATCTACTTTGGAACCTTTAAATTCTGAGGAAAATCCCTTACAACGGTTTACATTAAGTGCCTGGTAGTGCCAAAATTCTGTCTTTTCCTATTTCTGAGAAAAAGGATTTTTTTTCAAAATTACAAAAGTACTACATGCTTGTATTAAAAATTCAAGCAATACAGAAATAAGTAGAGTGAAAAAAAAAAAAAAGGAAAATTGCTTCTTTAAAAACTCCCATCTCCCAGGAGTCATCTCCCAGATCATTTTCTGTGCATTTTCATACAAACACTTTTTATATATGTGATTCTGCCACTTGCTATGTGACCCTGAGAATATTTATTCTCAGTTTTTACATTTTATGTAAAATGTAATAAAACCTACCTATGGCACTATTTTGAAGATTATATAATTCATGCTAAGTGTTTAGCACAGTGCCTCACATATAGAAGGCATCTGGAAGACTCAAGCTATCCTCCACCTCTAGGGCACTGACTCTGGCATATACTCACAGAAGGCTTCGTTAATTTGGAAAGGGGAAAATGATTATGTTGTCATTTGGTAGGTTGGCAGATAAAATTTTTCAAACCATAGGAATTCGTGCAAAGAACAAAGGATATATATATACAACAGAAGAATGTCTTCAGAAAGCAGAAACTGCCTCGGTTTTTGGGGAGGAGAAATTCTTGACATTCAGGGGGCTAAGTCCACAGGAATTAAAATGAATGAGGTTCTCCCTTCTCTCACTTTCTTGCATCTTTAGTACTAGCAGGGAGTTCTTTTCCAGCTATATAGACCTCCTTGGGCAGAAGGGAGGCCATGAATGTCTGGCAGACTGACAGCAGATATGGACATGGTCCCAGCAGAGAAGTGGACTGCTGGCCCAGTCACAGGGGGAAAGATTATGTGCTGTACACCCCTGCTCATTTTGTCTCCTCCACCTCACCCTTTCAGTGTCACCTCAGCCATCTCGTGTTGCTGGGCTGACCACCAAGGTAGCTATTTGCAATAACTGCTTAGTACCATAAGCAGAGACATCACTTTGCCGACAGAGGTTCATATAGTCAAAGCTATGGTTTTTCCATTAGTCATGTATGGATGTGAGAGTGGGACCATAAAGAAGGCTCAGTGCTGAAGAACTGATGCTTTTGAACTGTGGTGCTGGAGAAGACTTTTGAGAGTCCCTTGGACAGCAAGGAGATCAAACCAGTCAATCCTAAAGGAAATCAACCCTGAATATTCATTGGAAGGACTGATGCTGAAGCTCCAATACTTTGGCCACATGATGCCAAGAGCTGACTCACTGGAAAAGACCCTGATGCTGGGAGAGACTGAGGGCAAGAGAAGGGGGTGACAGAGGATAAGATGGTTGGATGGCATCACTGACTCAATGAACATAAGTTTGAGCAAACTCACAGAAATAGTGAAGGACAGAGAAGGCTGGTGTGCTGCAGTTCATGAGGTTACAAAGAGTCAGACATGACTTAGTGACTGAACAACCACAAGAACAATAATTTAACTCTTATTTCGTAATGATGCAAGTTGTTTCGAACTTTCACCATTTTATAATGCTATGGTGTAAATTCTTTCTACATATATTCTTGATTGTATGCAAAAAGTTTTGTAAGACACATTTTCTGTCAAGGGCATGTGCATTTAAAATTGGTACTTAATACTGTCCTTTCAGGATTTTAAAATTATTCTAGTACTGTGAACAAACACGGGCTCTTCATTTTTATAACCTAAGTATGACTCTTAACTTTATATAACTTCACTATTAGACAGATCTGATACATAACAGGGTTTCACTTCATTAAGTCAAGAAAATCTGAACAAATAAGACGTGATAATATTTAGATTTAAATACTAATCTAACAGCCTCTCTATACCTCTGGTTCCAGCTCTTAGGGTAGTGACATGTAATCCTTTCCATTACTAATGAATTAGAACTTTTTTTCTCTGACAAAAATATCAAAGATCCAGTTATTCAGCCAACTGTGAATGCTCAGTTGTTTTTAGAGAGAGGGTATGTTTTAGAATTTAGCTTCAGTTTATTGTTAACAGGCATTATCTGACTACTAATAAACATTCCCGAGATAGGAGTCTGTCTGTACAACTTAAGAGCATCAGCATGCTACGCTGAGTTGCCAATGGCAACTACAGATATTGTGTAATGTACTCTAAATATTTATTCCATGTGAATCCCTGTCAAAACAACATAGGGAAAACATTTCTATTTATAAAGGTCACATATCATATCAGATGACCCATATCTGAGTGATATTTTAAATAGTTCTATTTCCTTTTAGCTAAAATTTTCTAATGGTGCTTGGGCAATAACTGTAGCTCCTGCAGCTTGACTGTACCACTGTTCCTCTTCTCAATGCTTCCCCTCTATCCTAAAAGTTCTTATATCCCCCTCTTTTCTCCCTGGAGTTATTTATGAGATGAATCAACATAGCTTATGTCTACTTGATATTGGAATTCTAATGTGGCTGTAAGTGGTGACATTTTGGTTGTAATGAGAAAGATCAGCAGAGTTACTGAGGAGAGAAACACAATCAAAATGACAAATGAGAAAGGAAAATGATGAGAAAAACAGGAGACCATTAAGTTGGGTCTCTTGTTATTAGATAAACTTTTATTCATGCAGAATGAAAATATTTTCCTATCTAAAATGACCACTTCAAGACAGCAGTGTTGACTAATGGACATTATCTGTAAAATGGGGGGAAAAAAAAAGGAGGACAGATTTTCTTGGGTGACTTGAGAGAATCAGTCTCATAAGCCTCTGCAGATATGTTTCACTAAATGTGAACTCTATCCAAGACACAGAGTCCTAACAAAAATCCATATTTTTTTAATGGCACATAGCATCTTTATAACATAGCACTACAGTGATGTAACAAACACTATTATAAAGTGCTCTTAAATACAGAATAAATTATAAAAGTTCATAATTTGTTTCATAAGGGAAAATACACAAAAGAGAACAATTTATATTTGATGTTAAAATTTATAAGTAAGTTCCAAGAATGAATGTTATTTTGTTGAGAGGATAAGAACTCACACTGGATGTTAAGATACCACGAAGTTCCCTCTCTCATACTGACTGAAGAAGGCAGATTTCCTTTCAGTTATTCTCTAACTCCATGGGTAAGTTGTGTCCTTGGGAGAAGTGAGTGTAATCTATCTAGACAGTTTCCAACTTAACTATGGCTTGATTTATAATCCTTCGACTTTACCATGGTGTGAAAGTGATACGAGTTTAGTACAAACCAAAAATCTGAATTTCAGTCTTTTCCCAGGTGAGTCATTTGCTGTACGATACTTTCATGGTACTGGGCAACCACACTGTGCTGCCAGTCAGCCACTTGAGCTGGAGAGTAAACAGCTGGTACACTTACAAACATTCTGATTCTCACTTTCAGTATAGTATTCAATAAACTACATATGAGAAATTCAACACTTTATTACAATACAGGCTTTGTGTTAGATGATTTTGCCCAACTGCAGGCTAATGTAAGTGTTCTGAGCATGTTTAAGGTAAGCTGGGCTAAGCTATGATGTTCAGTAGGCTAGGTGCATTAAATGCATATTTGACCTGTGAAACTACCGCACAATTGCACTCATCTCACACACTAGCAAAGTAATGTTCAAAATTTTCCAAGACAGGCTTCAACAGTACATGAACCGTGAACTTCCAGATGTTCCAGCTGGATTTAGAAAAGGCACAGGAACCAGTGATCAAATTGCCAACATCTGTTGGATCATCAAAAAAACAAGAGCGTTCCAGAAAAACATCTACTTCTGCTTTATTGATTACACCAAAGCCTTTGACTGTGTGGATCACAACAAACTGTGGAAAATTCTTCAAGAGATGAGAATACTAGACCACCTCACCTGCCTCCTGAGAAACCTGTATGCAGGTCAAGAAGCAACAGTTAGAACTGGACATGGAACAAAAGACTGGTTCCAAATCGGGAAAAGAGTACATCAAGGCTGTATATTGTCACCCTGCTTATTTAACTTACATGCAGAGTACATCATGAGAAATGCTGGGCTGGATGAAGCACAAGCTAGAATCAAGATTACCGGGAGAAATATCAATAACCTCAGATATGCAGATGATACCACCCTTATAGCAGGAAGTGAAGAAGAACTAAGAGCCTCTTGATGAACGTGAAAGAGGAGAGTGAAAAGGCTGGCTTAAAACTCAACATTCAGAAAACTAAGATCATGGCATCTGGTCCCATCACTTCATAGCAAACAGGTGGGGAAACAGCGGCAGACTTTTATTTTTGGGGGGCTCCAAAATCACTGTAGATGGTGACTGCAGCCATGAAATTAAAAGATGCTCGTTCCTTGGAATAAAAGTTATGACCAACCTAGACAGCATATTAAAAAGCAGAGACATTACTTTGCCAACAAAAGTCCGTCTAGTCAAAGCTATGGTTTTTCTAGTAGTTGGAGTATAAAGAAAGCTGAGTGCCGAAGAATTGATGCTTTTGAACTGTGGTGTTGGAGAAGACTCTTGAGAGTCCCTTGGACTGCAAGGAGATCCAACCAGTCCATCCTAAAGGAAATCGACCCTGAATATTCATTGGAAGGACTGATGCTGAAGCTGAAACTCTAATACTTTGGCCACCTAATGCAAAGAACTGACTCCTTGGAAAAGACCCTGATGCTGGGAAAGACTGAAGGCAGGAGGAGAAGAGGACAGAGGATGAGATGATTGGATGGCATCACCAACTTGATGGACACAAGTTTGAGTAAGCTCTGGGAGTTGGTGATGGACAGGGAAGCCTGGCATGCTGCAGTCCCTGGGGCGCAAAGAGTCAGACACGACTGAGCTGACATGTGAAACTTTCAACTTCTGATGGCTTTATCAGGATGTGATATCAGGGTTTATCAGGGTTTACCCCATGACGTGTCAAGGAAGATCTGTAATGCCATTTGGTTCAAAATACCTAAAACTATAATAAAACCTCAAAAGATTAAAACAAGAGTTGGCCCATGGGAATGGGTCAGGTTCCAGAGTACTTTGTGGGCCAGCCAGTCACTGCTTTGAGGGTAAGCAGCCCGCCCTTGAGGCGAGGAAAAATTGGGACCCCCCTGAAAGAGGAAAAAGTGCTCCTCAAAACAGGGCTTGGAGGTGGGAAACAGTGAAAAGTTTACTCTTCTATTTTTCTCTCTCTCACAGATCTTTTATTTTCAGAAATCCAGTGTTACTTCTCTGTAGACAACTTAGTTCCACATCTCTAAATACTGTTAGAAAATTTCATTTGGTCATCTCATCACCTCAAACCTACCACATCTAATTTTGAAACTCATCTTTCCATCAAAACTGTCTCGGGGAATACATGTAAATCCATGGCTAATTCATTTCAATGTATGACAAAAACCACTGCAATGATGTAAAGTAATTAGCCTCCAACTAATAAAAATAAATGAAAAAAAAAAAAAACTGTCTCTCTCTCCCAAATACTTTTTAGAGTTTACCAAAGTAATATGCTGGGCTGAAGAGTATTTTTATTGTCAATCATTAAGCACTATACTTTATATCTTCTGTCTATATTCCTTCAGTGTCATTATTTTAGTGTAGTCCTGACCAGCTAGTGCTTATAATAATTATACCTCAGCTATCCTTAGCTCTTGCCTCTCCTTTCAGTTCATTAAATTGCTACCAGAATATTTCTGAAAATTTGCTCATGCTTCTCTTCCATTGAAAAATGCTGAATGATCCCCACTCTCTATCGAATCAAGTCTATACTTCTTATACTTTGGTCAAGACCTTGTAAAATGGTCTTGATGTGTCCTTCTCAAAGGTCTGTCTGTCTCCTACAATTTGTCCAAATACAATCTCTGAGCTAGGTAAATGGGCTTATTTTGTCTTATGTTATGCTCCCCTGCTCTGTTCATACCATTCCCTATAGTTAAATGCTTTTTAGTTTATTTACCTGGTCAAATTTAGCATTCTTCAGGATCCTGGTCTAATCTCTTTTTTCCATAAAGTATTCAATGATTACTCTAGTGTGATAAAATCCTGTTTCTTCCTTAAATACTTATGCTACTTCCCCTGTATTTTTTATTTTACAATATATCAGGTATGCCTTAGGACATCTAATTCAATCATCTCCATTCATTCAAGTATTTACTGAGCACTAACTTGGGCACTAGCAGTACAGTAGAGAACAAGTCAGTTACTACAAGCCAGATACTACTTTAAAGAGTTTTAAGAGCATGGGCTCTGAAGTTGGGTTTGATTCCTGTAGCTACTACTTAAATGTGATATGATCTTAGGAATTGTTTAACTCACTGTCTGTTTCCAAATCTATCCAAGCAAAGCAAACAAAGAAGAAACAGAAGGGGTCCAGGGAAGTTTTTTGCCTAATGTAGGAGATACGAGGTATGCTTGTATAACAATGAAAATTAATAGAGAGGTAGACCAGAAAACAGAAGGAGCAGAGTCCTTGGAAAGGTGGCAAGGCATGGTAACCAGATCACACTGGTAGGGCCTTTGAGAGGAAAAGAGACACTCTCTATTGTAACCCAAGATAAGAAAGGGTGGCTATAGATACATGGATTTACCTCACACCAGTCAGAATGGCCCTAATTAACAGCCTACAAGTAACAAATGCTGGGTGTGGAGGAGGGTGTGGAGAAAAGGGAACCCTCCTACACTGTTGGTGGGAATGTAAATTGGTGTGGCCACCATGGAAAACAGTATGGAGGTTCCTCAAAAAAACTAAAAATAGAGTTACCATATGCTTTAGCAATCCTACTCTTGGGCATATACCCAGACAAAACTTTGGTTCTAAAAGATACATGCACCCCTGTGTTCACAGCAGCACTATCATAATAGCTAAGACATGAAAATAACCTAAATGTCCACTGACAGATGAATGGATAAAGATGTGTATATATACAATGGAATACTACTCCATGGATTAGCATACATATATACAATGGAATACTACTCAGTCATAAAAATGAATGAAATACTGCCATTTGCAGCAACATGGATGGACCTAGAGATTATCATACTAAGTGAACTAAGTCAGAAAGAGAAAGACACCATATGATATCACTTACAAGTGAAATCTAAAATGTGACACAAATGGACCTATCTACAAAACAGATAGAACATAAAGAACAGGGGAGGGGGATGGTGGGGATGGATAGATTGGGAGTTTGGGATTAGCAGTTGCAAAGTATTATACAGAATGGATAAACAACAAGGTCCTACTATACAGTACAAGGAACTACATTCAATGTTCAGTGACAAGAGACTTCCCTGGTGATCCAGTGGTTTAAGAATCCACCTTGCAATGCAAAGGACATGAGTTCGGTCCTTCACTGGAGAACTAAGATCCCACATGCTGTGAGGCAGTTAAGCCCATGAGCCACAACTAGACCCCGCATGCTTTGGAACCTGCGCAATGCAACTACCTAGCCTGAGTGCCACAACTAGAGAGTCTGTGTGACACAATGAAAGATCCTACATGATTCAACAAACAAGATCCCGCATGCTGCAACTAAGACCTAATGCAGCCAGATAAATAAATAATAAAATCCTGTGGCAAACCACAATGGAAAAGAATATGAAGAAGAATGTATATAGTATAACTGAATCACTTCACTAGATAGCAGAAATTAACATAACATTGTAAATCAACTATACTTCATAAAATAAAATTTTTATAAAAGCTATGTGAGTTTATAGTTTTGATGTGAAGAACAGTTTAGATTATTTGGCTAAGAGTGAGGCTGAAGAGAAGCATGAAAGTTTGAGGAAAAAGGACAAATTACGAAATTCTTACTGAGTGGGGGAAAATGTTGCCTGAATGAAAAATTTTCAGTAGATCTGCCAAGCAGTATTGAATGTGAAAGTCTGTCATCTTAAATTTAAAGTGAGGTCAGCTTTATGTTAAGATTTTCTCTAGTATGATCAGCTATTGGGGAAATCAGGCACTGAAAACATAGATAGGGTTCATCTAAGAATGGTATCTCTTCAGATGGGGAATGTAAATATGAGGGTATCTGTAAAGGAATGACTTTAATGAAGAATCATAAATCTAAACTAGTGAAGAGGGCAGCAAAAGCCAGGAGAGGCCTAGTGGATAGCAAGAAAGTATGTGAAATTAATAATCTGAAAGTTTCTAAGCTGTTGGGAAATCTTACAGTAGCAATCTGTCTTCTAACTAGCTATAGCATTCTTTTTCTTTTTTGGATGAGTCATGCAGCATGCACAGGTTCAATACCCAACAAGGAATCGAACCTGTGCCCCCTGCAGTAGAAGTTCAGAGTCTTAACCACTGGACCTGCCAGGAAAGTCCCCCTAGCATTTTTGAAGACAGAGAAAGTGCTTTTTTTGTCCTTGCTAACAGATGCTTGCCAGTAACAGGAATCAACTCATTCTTGCTGCTATGATTAGGCAGAGCCCCAACAGCTCACCTGGCATGTTACAGCCAATGTATGACAGATCTGGGTCTTCCCAGTTCGGAATTCTCCAAACATCTCTGTGATGGATCCAGTCTCAATTCCTCCTAAAAAAAGAAACATCTCTTAGCACAATACAAATGTTAGAAACATAACCATAGAAACACCCCAATAGCTCATCAGAAAGATGTTTACATAATTTAGAGACCCAATCTTCAACAAGCAGTAATTTTAAAAATACTTCATTTGGAAATAATTCTAGATTCATAGACCACTGCAAAGAAATATAGAGGTTCCATGAATTCTTCATCCAGCTTCCCCCAATGTTAATGCTTTATATAATTATAATATAAATATCAGAAAATTGACATCCATACAATCCACAGAGCTTCTTCAGATTTCTCCAGCTATATATGCACTCATTTGTGTGTGTGTGTGTAGTTCTATGTAATTTATCACATTTGTAGCTTCACGTAAGTATCACCATAACCAATATACAGAACAATACCATCACAAGTCAATAAGCAGTCATTTAAAAAATAAATTACAGATAATATCCAACGTTTACTAAATATCTTTTGTGTATCTGACATTGTGCTATCAATTCATTTAACTCCAATAATATAAGGTATATATTTTTTTACCTCATTATGAGGTCAAAGATAAGCCCTTATCTTCTTCAATAAGATAAGAAAATTGAGGCATAGAATATAATAAGTAATCTGCACCATGTAATATGGCCAGTAAATGCTAAGAGGGGGAACAGGAGGGAAAACAAACGCTCAAATCTGAGTGTGATTCCTGAACTCATGCTATTTTGTGCCCGCCCCAAAAGAAACTTAAATGATCAAATATTTGATTTCTACCTTGTGGTAGAGTAAAAGGTTATATTATTTCTTTAGGCAGAGGGAGCTGACTCTCAAGAATGCAGTTATTAATTGGAGATTAAATTAATGAAATGGCAGATAATTTTAGTATTTTTAAAGTTAAACCTCACCCTTCAGTCTTACTTCTTCAATGTGAATACTTTCCTTTATTCTTAATTCTATCTAACAAACATGAACCAAATATTTCAGTTATGTTCTATAATCTAACTGTAGTTCACGACATAGGATAAGAGATTACAATACCTTGAAGCAGTTTGTCAAGTTCTTTGGAGCCAGTAGTAATCTGTATGATCTCAGATCGCCTTTGGTGGAACTCAGTTGCAGTGGTGAAACCCATTGGAACTAATTTAGCTGCCTCAGTCTGGGGAAAAATAAGAAATGTCAAACTAATGAAATACACTTAGTAAAACAAGAATCAGGCATGTAGTGGGAAGAGATAACATCTAACAAAATTTCCAGAATGATTTCTCTTTAAAAAGTTATCAAAACACTCGTAAGTTCTAGTTCTAGGATTATTTTCTCTCTCTGGCAAATAAAGGATAAACTAATTTAGAGACTCCAAGAAGACGGGCAATTGTTTAATTGTCAATTCAAATAATACATTCATGTAGTTAAAAACAACAAACTGATAAACCAACACATACATAGTTGGCCTGACAATATGGTACAAAGTTCAATATATTTAAACCTTTGTTTCCTGTTCCATCAACCATAGAATGTATCTCTTAACTTTCTACTGTGTTAAATGAGGACATTTGTCCTTTGATCTTTGCTCCCTCATCTACTTTTCCATCTCTGTCAACTGTACATTTTCTTTTACCCTGTCAGGTTGAGAACATTTAATACTACTTTGTAGTCACTGATAAGCCATTAATGATCAGTCTATAGGTTGATTCCAAAATTTAAAAATAAAAGCTTTCAGATACATGGAGATTAAACATTATAGTCCTAAATAAACAATGAACCAAAGAAGAAATCACAAGGGAATTTAGAAGATTCACTGAGATGTGTGAAATGAAGACAAAACACACCAAAACTTATGGGATGTAGCAAAAGCAGTACTTAAAGGGAGATTTATAGCTGTAAACACCTGTATTAGAAAGATCTTAAATCAATAGCCTAATCTTCCCACCTTAAGTTATTGAAAAAAGAGCAAACTAAACATAAAGCAAGCAGAAGGAAGAAGATAAAATTTGAGTGGAAACTGGTGAAATAGAGAATAGAAATACAACAGAGAAAAATCACTAAAACCAGAAGTTGCTTCTTTGAAAAAAATCAACAAAATTGATTTAAAAAGAGTCAAATCACTAAAATCAGAAATGACAAAGGGGACATTACTACAACCCTTACAAAAATAAATCTACGCCAACAGATTAAATAACTTACAAGAAACACAGAAATCCCTAGAAAGACACAAACTATCAAAACTCACTGAAGTAGAAAAAGAATCCAAGTCCAGGCCCCAACTAATTAGCCAAACTTGAATCTAAATTCAGTAAAATAAACAGAGTCTAACAAAACAAAGAAAGAAAAGAGGGAGGGAGGAAGGAAGGAAGGAAATCAAAAGAAAGGAAGAGAAACAGGAAGAGAAAGAGAAAGAAAGTGGGAAGAGAAAAAAAGAGGAAGGGAGGAGAAAAATCTGGATAAATCTACAGCAAGTAGAGATTAAACTTGTAATTTAAAAACTTTCCACAAAGGGGAAAAAAATAATGAAAAGGTGAATACTGGACTTGCTTTATTCTCTAAACTTCTCTATATTAATACTTCACTTAAAAATTGATTATAACATTTGTATTATAGTTATTGCAGAACCAAATGGTGTGCTAGAAATACAATTCTTTCACTAAGGTTCCAATGTTAACAACTGATGTCTCTCAAAGTTATCTGTCAAGTTCAAATAAAGTTTTTTAAATGCCACTAGTTTCAAAATCATGCTCCATTTTACCTTGCTTTTATATCTGAACCATATCTTTCTCTAGTATTCTCTGACTTTATCATTTCTCAAAATCTCCAGTCTCTCAGTCTTACTATGTATTCTACTGACTCCTTTCCCCTAAAGACATCCTTTCCTTCTCCAAACGGGGCTCTCTGCTCTCTCTTTCACTGGTTACCTGACATAGAACCACTCCAACCTAGATCCTATGTTTTCTACCCTGATTTTAGTAAAGCATATCCTCAAGTATCGATAATTTCCTAAGAAAGAATAGATAAGAGCAAAATGTTCTGAATTCTAGTATTTCTGAAACTGTTGTATTCTGCCCTAACACTGGGTGAGTAATATTGTTACCAATAGAATTACAGGTTTAAAATCATCTACCCTCAGAATTTTGAAGGGATTGCTCTACTAGCTTCTACCACCCAGATTTCTAATAAGAGACGTGCTATCTTTCTGATTTTTGTTCCTTTAGAGGTCACTTACTTTTTTTTTCTCTGAAATCGTTCAGTCTCCTCTTTACAACTGGTATACTGAAAACTTCACACTCAGGAGTCCAGGTGAGGGTCTTTGATGTTTTGTGGGGCCTTAGACTTCTGTTTTCCTTTAGCTCTGGGAAATCTTACATTATTTTTTTGAGAATTTCTTTCTTTCTTTTTCCCATAACTTCTACCAATCTTTAGGATGAATGAAGATCAATGAAAATTAGAAAATAAGAATACTAAAGAAAGGGGAGAAGAAACTATAAGCCAATATGGAACTCTAGTTTAATAAATGCTAAAATATTTAGGGGGAAATATACTGCAACTTTAAAAAGCACAAAAAGAGTCAAGATGTACTGATGGCTAGAGAGATAAACAGATAGATGATAACACAAGTATATTAAAATGTTAATAGTTGTGTCCAGGTGGTGGGTAAATGAGCGTTCACTGTAACGTTCTTTCAACTTTACAGTAAGTTCAAAAATTTTACTCAAACATGTAGAAGGAAAATATCAAACTCATAGGAGATGTTATCCCTTCTTGTCATTTAACCCCTACATTTTCTAGTCTATGAGCTCTTAAAGGAACATATTATAACCAGTATGAAATTGGAAGTAAAAACCATGCCGACTGCCTAGTCTGGCAGAACTTGACTTCTTTTGTTTATATAATAAGCTTGCTTTCATCTGTCTTATACCTGTTAAGAATTTTCAATGTCTGACAAAGAGTTTTTTTAAATGTCTGACAAGGCAAAAGCAAAGGGCAGGATTCACTGAGTCACAAAAACAGATACCCAGAAAGAAACAACAAACAGACTTTAGGGACACCTACTGGCTTAACAATATCACAATCTTTCAAAGAGGTATTAGGTATTCAGAATTCTTACTTATTCAATTATGTCACCACTTCAACAAATTTATTTATTTGAGCAATCCAATAAATGACAACTTCATACTTCCATAGATGGCAACATCTTTACTCTAAGGATTTAAATTAAGAATTACTTATGATATTTGAGCCCTGAATGAATTAATACTATAAAATAACAGCCTTGCTAGTGCTTAAAAATTCATAGCTCTTAGTATAATATCTGATAAAACAGAATTTACTGGGTTGTATATATAATATTGTATGAGATATTAAATCTCAGATATTGTCCATCAGACTAGGTTATGTGGTAGAACTACATGCACTGAGGCTGCAGGAAGCATTTTTTGAAGATTCTTTAGCTTTTGAAGATGATTTTTTTCAGAGAAAATTTCTGTGAAACTATAACAGCCATCAATATAAAACTACAAAATATAATTTAATAAATTAAATACCTGCTTTACATTATAGAAAACTTCAACAGCAAAGCTAATCAAACTCTGTAACTACATAGTGGTGATATGCGGGCAGCAATCTTTGATGTTACTATAATTGTTTTGGGGTCCCACAAACTACACCTATAGAAGACAGTGAACTTAACTGATAAATGTGTGTGTTCTGACTGCTCTACCCACTGACCATATACCCATCTGTCTCTCCCCTCAGGTCTCCCTGTTCCTTAGGACACAACCATACTGAAATCAGGCCAATTAATAACCCTACAATGGGCTTCCTTGGTGGCGCAGATGATAAAGAATCCACCTGCAATGCGGGAGACCTGGGTTCGATCCCTGGGTTGGGAAGATCCCCTGGAGGAGGGCATGGCAATCCACTCCTGTATTCTTGCCTGGAGAATCCCCATGGACAGGAGCCTGGCGGGCTGCAGTCTAAGGGGTCGCAAAGAGTCGGACATGACTGAGCACCTAAGCACAGCCCAGCACAATGGCCTTCAGGTGTTCAAGTGAAAGGCGTGAACCTGCACGTCTGTCACTCTGAAGAAAAAAACCAGAAATGCTTTGGTTTAGTGAGGAAGGCAAGTCAAAGGTTGAAATAGGCTGAAAGCTAGGCCTCTTGTGTCAAACCGTTAACCAAGGTGTGAATGTAAAGGAACTTCTTGAAGGAAATTAAAAGCACTACCCCAGTGGATACATGAATAGTAAGAAATAGCCTTATTGCTAATATGAAGAAAATTTTAGTGGTTTGGGTAGAAGATCAAAGCAGCCATAACATTCCCTTTAGCCAAAGCCTAGTGCAGAGCAAAGTCCTACTCTCTTAATTCAGGGAAGGCTAAGGGAGATGAGAAAGCTGCAGAAGAAAAGGCTGAAGCAAGCAGAGTTTGGTTCATGAGGTTTAAGGAAAAAAGCCATCTCTGTAACATTTAAGAGCAAGGTGAAGCAGCCAGGGCTAATGTAGAAGCTGCATCAAATTATCCAGAAGATCTAGCTAAGATAAAGAATGAAAGTGGCTACATTAAATAGATTTTCAAGGTAGACAAAATAACATTATATTGGAAGACGATGCCATCAAGGACTTTCATAGCTACAGAAGAGAATGCCTGGCTTCAACAGTTTTCAAAGAATCAGCTGGCTCTCTTTTCAGCAGCTAATGCCACTGGTGCCTTTAAGTTGAAGCCAATGTTTATTTACCATCCTAAAAGTCCTAGAGCCCGTAAGAATTATGCTCAATCTATTCTGCCTGTGCTCTATAAATGCAACAAGTCTGGATGATGGCACACCTGTTTAAAACATAGTTTACTGAATACTTTAAACCCACTGTTGAGAGAAGGCGAGGGTGGGATGTTTCAAGAGAACAGCATCAAAACATGTATATTATCTAGGGTGAAACAGATCACCAGCCCAGGTTGGATGCATGAGACAAGTGCTCGGACCTGGTGCACTGGGAAGAGCCAAAGGGATCGGGTCGAGAGGGAGGTGGGAGGGGGGATCGGGATAGGGAATACATGTAAATCCATGGCTAATTCATGTCAATGTATGACAAAAACCACTACAATATTGTAAAGTAATTAGCCTCCAACTAATAAAAATAAATGAAAAAAAAAATAAACCCACTGTTGAGACCAGTTCCTTAGGAAAGATCCTTTCAAACTGTTACTACTCACTGACAACATACCTGGTTACTCAAGAGCTTTGGAGATGCACAATGAGATTTAATGTTGTTTTCATGCCTGCTAACACAACATCCATTCTGCACCCTGTGAATCAAGGAGTAATTCTGCCTTTCAAATCTTATTATTTAAGAAACGCATCTTGTAAGACCACAGTTGTCACAGACAGTGATTCTTCTGATTGATCTAGGAAAAATCAGTTGAAAATCTTTTGGAAAGGACTCATCATCCTAGATGCCATTAAGTACATTTGTTAAAAAAGAAAGTATTAAAAAAAAAAAAAAGTAAATTTGTGGTTCATGGGAAGAGGTCAAACTGTCATTTAACAAGAGCCTGAAAGAAGTTGATTTTCACTCTCATGGATGACTCTGACAGATTCAAGACTTTAGCAGAGGAAGTAAATACAGATGTGGTGGAAATAGCAAAAGAACTAGAATTGGAACCTGAAGTTGCAGCTGAAACACTGCAATATCATGATAAAACTTTCATGGATAAGGAGTTTCTTCTTATGGATAAGCAAAGGGTGGTTTCTTGAAATAGAATCTACTGGCGAAGATGCTGTGAAGATTGGTGACATGACAACAAAAGATTTAGAATGTGATATAAACTTGGTTGATAAAGCAGTGGCAGTGTTTGAGAGGGCTGATGCCAATCTAGAAAAATTTCTGCTGGGGATACAATGCTATAAAATAGGACTTCCCTGGTGGTCCAGTGGTTAAGAATCCATCTGCCAATGCAGGGGACACGGGTTCAATCCCTGGTCTGGGACTATTCTACATGCCATGGGGCAACTAAGCCCATGCACTTAGGGCCCGCGTTCCGCAACAAGAGAAGCCAATGAAAAGTCCATGCACTGCAACCATAATAGCCCTCATGCAGCAACAAATGCCCAGGGCAGCCAAAACATTAAACAAAAAATTTAAAATGCTATCAAATAGCATTGCATATTACAATTGAAAGGAAGATTCAATCTATGTGGCAAACTTCACTGTGGTCTTATTTTAAGAAATTGCTGCAGCCACCCCAACCTTCAGCAACCACCACCCTGATCAGTCAGCAGTCATAAATGTCAAGGCAAGACTCTCACCAACAAAAAGAATATAAATTGCTGAAGGCTCAGATGATGGTTAGCATTTTTTAATAATGAAGTATTTTTAAATTAAGGTATACACACTGCTTTTGTAGCTCTAATACTATTGTATAATTAACAGACTACAAAATAGTGTAAACATAATTTTTATAGGCAACGGGAAACCAAAAAACCCGTGTGACTTGCTTTACTGTGATATTTGCTGTGTTGTGGTGGTCTGGAACCTAACCTGCAATTATCTCCAAGGTATAGCCTATAAATACCAAAGGATAAAATACATGAAATAAAATGTAATCATAGGGTACTATATGTGCTGAAGGAATATATGAAGTAAGAAAAATGAATAGTAGCTGCAAGACATTGGAGGGAAATAAGAAAGTATCACAGTATATCAGGATGAAAATAACTGGATTCTAGTCTTAGTTCTGTGATCAACTGCATAACATTGGATAAATAACTGAACCACTGGGCCTAAGTTTCCTTATGTGTAAGGCAGAGATAACACTGGTCCTACCTCTCTCTCCCAGTGTCAAGGCAAGTGAGAATACTGTGTATACAAAAGGGATGGGATTTCAAAGTTAAAGTGCTATAAGAGAACTCTACTCAATATTCTACAATAACCTGTACTGGAAAAAAATCTAAAAAGAACGAATATTGTATATGTATTGACATATGAATCACTTAGCTATACACCTGAAACATAACACGATAAACCAACTATAGTCTAATATAAAATTTCAATTAAAAAAGTTAAAGTGCAATATAATATAAAGGATTATTATTATCTTATTTTGGTTAAGCCTGTAAAATCACTTTTACATCATTTACTAAAGTTAAAAAAACTAAGCATTAATGATTTGTAATCACACTTTCTTATGATTAAAGAATCTTGCTTATGACTAGTTAATTAATAGACTGTACACACTGGCAGCCTAATTAACATGACTCTAATAGTCAAGGAATAAAAACAATTTTTCTATTTAAAGTAATACATGTTTAGGAGACTTTCCTAGTGGTCCAGTGGCTAAGAGTCCATCCTCCCAATGCAAGCGGTCTGGTTTTGATCCCTGTTCAGGGAACTAGATCACACATGCTGCAACTAAGATCCAGCACAGCCAAATAAATAAATATATATATATATTAAAAAAAAGTAATACAAGTCTATTATAGAAACTGCAGAAACTTCAGAAAATTGAGGCAAAAATAAACTGTTCACATTCTCACCATCCAGAAACAAATGTGTTAGTATTTTACTGTAGTTATCCCCAGTGTATATGCTATATGTATATAAACACACACATTTAAAAAGATAAAGACATAAGCACACAAACACATTTTTTAACCTGCTTTCTTATATCAGGAACATTTTCATATGTCAATGACTGTTCTTCAAAACTATTTTCATTGGCTATATACTAATGAGTATATTTCTAAGGCATGAAATTATAACATCCAGAAATGATTAGGCACACATCACTCATGGCTGATAGGAGTGCAAACTGGTAGTCAATTTGGCAGTATTTATGTCATACCCCCATGATATTGCAGTTCTCTAGGAAAAATCCCAGTTTATGCAAGGAGAAAGATAACTAGCTGGTAATACAGTCACTTCTGGAAAGAGGAAGAGGGTGACACAACAGGGGATGGAAGAAGGAAGACTACAGTCTTTCACTGTATACTCTTTATCACTCCCACTGCTGCCTCTCTTGGTCACACAAGCGGTACTTACCAGAATTTTATCAGCTTTGGCTTCACTAATCCCCTTAATATTTATTAGCTCCTTCTTTGGTGCATAGGCAACAGCCTCTACGGTATGAAATCCAGCTTCTTCCAATTTCTTCACATCATTGGCATTTATACCACATTGCTGCAAGTGAAGAAAACTACGGATAAATCTAAGCTTTGGTTCCCTCATCTGTTGAATGTGGATATTGGCCCTACTTATTTCACAAGGCTGTTTTTAACTGTGATATTATATGCAAAAGCTTTTAAAAGTATGCCCTACATATGATGCATCTCATAACAAATTACCAATCTATTCATCATCAAAGGTATTCTCTTAGTGGCTCAGATGGTAAAGAGTCTGCCTGTAACAAGGGAGATTTAGGTTTGATCCCTGGGTTGGGAAGATCCCCTGGATAAGGAAACAGCAAACCACTCCAGTATTCTTGCCTGGAGAATCCCAAGGACAGAAGAGCCTGGAAGGCTACAGTCCACGAGGTCGCAAAGAGTCAGACATGACTGAGTGACTTTACTTTCTTTTTTTTTTTCATTTTTCATTCATTATCAAAACCAGTAGTTTTAAACGAGCACTATGTATATTAAAAGACTCTCATGAATTGGGATCAAACCTGTAACCTTTTGACTGGAACTCTAAATGCACTTTGAGACCTGGGCCCTAAAAGGCTACTTTAAACTGGTGCTTCCCAAAGTTTTCTACATCAAGCACACATAAAGAATAATAAATTTTACACTAAGCTGGGTAAACAGATAAGACCGTCCCAGAGCTAAGGGGAGCCTATCTTAGCATACATTCTTTGTTGCCCAATAACTGGAAAGCTCTGCTTTAACAACTGATATTAAGAATGAGGAAAACAATTTTTGGTCAGGGATTTACATGCCACTTCTCAAAAACAAACCATCCAAAGGCACTTCCTTCTCCCTATAAACAAAGTCAGCTTTGGTTTTATTAGCCACCAAAACCATGACTTTGGGGAAAGCATGCATTATTAGCGAGATATGTATGTATCTGGGGTCAGGGAAGGTTTGGGAGAGGGGAGAGAAATAGTACCTACCCCTAGAAACCGGGTCTGTTATAAAGATTTAAGCAATAAGCAATTCACATGTGTGGTTATAAGGATGCTCACTGAAACCAAAAGTTATGACTCTGAATTCTCCAATGTGTTTAACAAACCCGTTTAAGTATCTTCTGAAAAGCTGAAGCTTAGGTGGGGGATGGGAGGAATATGCATAAAGAGACAAGAATGAAGGCTTTCTCAGTATACTCTCCTAATTCTTTCAGCCCAAGTCAATGGTACTCACTCTGGGACCTCTGTACAATGTGCAGAAACAGTGCAAGGTCCCAGGTTTGGTGCTTGGTGTTCTGTGCAGTCTTGAACTCTCACATCTTAACCCCAAGCCAGTCTGTCTATGATAGCTGTCTTCTTAGTAACTTCATCACAGATCCAGGTTGGTGGAGAGATGTTGCTCCTCTCCACTTCCTGCATAGCTGGCCCAGGCCACTGCAATTCCCTGGATGGTAATTTCATACTTAGTACAAACAGCACAGGTTCTACCATGGGATCCTAGGGCTTCTTAGTTTCTGACATCCAGTTCTAAGAAAGAAAAAGTAGGGGAAGAATTCTTGACAAAAAAGGGACCTGGCAGACATGTTTAGCAACTGTCTTAAGTCTTCCCATAGGATCCTTGACGACCCTCCTGAAAACTCTAATTTGGATTTCAGTTTATGTAAAGGTTGTGATTCCTCCCAGTAGGTAGAACAATCTTATCCAACATTATAATTTTAAAATAGCAACCAAGCACATACCTCTAATCGAGAAATAGGTTGTGGACCAAAGCTTTCTTCTTCCACTGAAGTATCTGCATTTGCTTCAAGCTGCATCTCCATAGCCATTGCTCAGTGTGCAATACTGAAAAACACAGATGGCCATCAGGAAGAACACTAGAGAAAGTACAGACGTGCAAACATAGTTTTACAGTAAATCTCTTAAAGAATTACTAGGTTTTTCCTCTGGGGAGATATATATATATTTAGTATGCATAATATATTTTAGAAAACTTATGAATTTATACCTAGCTAAAAAATTTATGGCATTTTGATTCTACTTGTTTGACTTAGTATGAACAGAATGCTAGATTTCTAATTAAAAAAAATAGATATGCAATAAGCAACAAAAGTTTACTGTATAGCACAGGGAACTATAGTCAATATCTTATAATAAACTACAATGGGAAATAAAGTGAAAAATAATATATATGTATATGTCTAACTGAATCACCTTTCTGTGCACCTGAAACATTGTAAGTCAACTATAGTTCAATAAAATATATATATTAAGAAAAAAAAAAAAAGACTACTAGGCTTTTGGTTTAATCACTGACTTACCCATGGCAGGAAAAAGAAATCCCTCACCAGCTTTCCCTTTCACCTAGACAGCTTAACTAGATAAACTATGTCCCCCAGTTCTCCTGCTTCATATTTCTTATAGATAAGGGCCAAGTCTTATTTGTATATAACTCATGATAACATCATAAATCTTAGGTGTTTGTTAAATATTCGGCAACTGAATGCAGATTTTCCAGAACTCTACTTAAAAAAAACCCAAAACTGATTTAGGGTTAAACCGTTTCAGTTCCACTTTTCCCTTCCAAGCAAGCAGGGTTTGGGGGTGATGGCAAAGGGGCGAAATGAAGGTACAGAATCATTGCCATAAATCTCCACTCCTGATAAAGAAACAGTGGACTGAGATGAGAATTCTTCCCACCTTAGGCAAGAATCATAGTTTTTAGTCCCACATTTTGCTTCTATTTTAATAAAAGTGTATGAAATTTAAAGATCACCATTTTAACCAATTCCAGACTTCACTGAATGCACAAATGAATAAGTAACATGGAAGTATCCTGCTCAGTTTGAAATCTTCCATATAAGGCCAATACCAAAAGTCAGATTATTTTAACAGTTAAGATTGCACTGATTGAAAGAATGGAGAACAAAAAATTGTAATTATCTTCATGAGGTGTTAGTAAAAGCAAAGAAGTCTTGATGTCTACAAGGATAAATATGCTTAAGTCACATCAAAATAATCTGGACAATTTAACAATCAAGATAAATTTAACTAAAAAAAATAACAGGTAAGGAATCTCCAGTCTTAGAAGCTTGACAGAAGGTGACCATTTGTTCTTGACTGGTTCAGGTGTAGTTCTCTTAGATGGCATGCTTAGCATAATATGAGTATATTCCAATATAATTCCAAATATCAGAATCATCTGAAGGCAACTTAAAGTGTCTTCCTTCATAATTTATGAAAAAGATGGCTTGAACTGTATACATAAAGCAATAACCAAAATGCAACAGGCTGAAAAACTGGACTATATTTAAATTTAGAAATTCTATCCATTAAAAGGCTATGGCTGGGAAAAAAAAAAAAAGGCTATGGCTGGGACTTTTCTGATCGTCAAGTGGTTGACCCCCAAGCTCCCAATGCAGGGGGCTGGTGTTCGATCCCTGGTCAGGGAGTTAGATCCCACATACAGGAACTAATACCCAGTGCAGCCAAAAAAAAAAAAAAGCTATGGCTTCCCAGGTGGTGCAGTGGTAAAGAATCTATCTGTTAATGCAGGAGATGCAAGAGAAGTGGGTTCAATCCCTGGGTTGGGAAGATTCCTTGGAGTAGGAAATGCACCTAGAAAATTCCATGGACAGAGGAGACTGAAGGGCTACAGCTCATGGCAGCACAAAATGTCGGAGGACTGGGACTTCCCTGGTGGTCCAGTGGCTAAGACTCTGCACACTCCCATTGCAGAGGGCCCGAGTTCAATCCCGGTTGGGGAACTACATTCCACATGCCGCAACTGAGACCAAGTGCAGCTAAATAAATAAAATTGGAAAAAAAAAAAAAAAAGCCAGATGATTGAGTGACTGAGCACATCTAATCAAAAGACACCACTGCAAGAAGGAAAGTCGAACAATAGTGAGGGGGGAAAATATTTACCACAAATATAACTCAGAGCTGATATGAGAATATATAAAGAATTTTTGCAAATCAGCAAGAAAGACAACCCAAGAAAAAATAGGCAAAAGAGATTTGAACAAGCACTTCACAAGGGAAGATATTCAGATGGTTAATGAACGTATCAACAAATGCTCAACATTAATAATCAGGAAAATTAAAATTAAAACCACAAGGTAATAGCCAAAATTTTAAAAGATCAACAACATTAACTATTAGCAAACGTGTGGAACAACTGAACACTCATTCACCACTGGTTTGAGTGTACTGGTACTGTATTAAACATGGAAGGTGAAGACAGACAAATGCTTTGACCCAGGAATTCTGCCACTCTATTATTAACCCACTAAAAAGCATACACGTGTGCACTAAACTGTATGCAGGAATTTTCTCAGCCACCTCTGTCCTGAAAGCTAAAAACTAGAAATAAACCAAATATCCATCATAGGTATAATGAATAGGAATACAAGTGATAGAAAGTATTGCTAAATGCAAAGACACTTACGAACCTACAGAGTGTTGAGCAAAGCCAGACACAAAAACAGTCTTTCTTTATATAAATTTCAGAAACAGGCAAAATTAATCAATGGTATTAGTAGTCAACACAGTGGTTACCTCCGGCGAGAAGGGAGAGTATTAGAGGAGGGGGCACAAGGGAGGCTTCCGGGTGATGACAGCATTCTCTCTTGACCTGAGTGGTATATTCATTTTGTAATGACTCATGGAGCTGTATACACTTTTGATCTGTGCATTTTTCTATTTGTATACTACACTTGGCTTACAAGTTTAAGAAAAAAACAGCATCCGTCACTACAGATCGTTACTTAGACATCACGTGAACGGTCTTCCGCATTAGAAAAAGCCAATTATCTTACTGGCAACTGGAGGTGGGTACTCTGGTAAGCAAAATTTTGTGTGACGGAAAGCGCACTGACCAGAAACCTGGAAACCGTGGCTCTGGCTTAAGAGCTGTGACTCTGTCACTACACGTCTCTGGATCTTGGATTCCTCGCGGACGCCCATTAAGTAGGTGTTGGAAATGAAGGCCTCCCAAGGTTCCTCCCAGCTCTAAACGCTAGAGTGCGCTTCTATTTTCCCCTCAGCGAACTTCTCCCCTTCGACTGAAGCAGCCCGGACACGTCCCGGCTTCGCCCCGCCATTTCCGAGTTTCTCACTCGGAGAAACGGACGGGCCCGTAAGCCTGCGACGGAGCTGGGGCCCGAATCTGGGTCTAAGCCTGGGTTCGGCGTATGCCGGGACTAACAGGGCGGTGGGAAGGGGCCGGGGCGGCGTCTCACACTCACCTGGACCTGCCGTGCTTCGCTAGGGCAGGCTGCACACTCGGACTACCGGCTGCTGGGCCCGCCCGCGCCCGATCCCGGACGGACTGTAGGTCCCCTCGCTTGTGCCCCGCTTCTCTACTCCCTTGCTTCGGCCTTCTGCACGAAACCCAGACGAGTTTCAGCTTCCAACCTCGCCCCCTAAGGCGCCACTCGCCTCCTCCTACGCCTCGGTCTCAAGCCGCAGCGGGCGCTCTGCCTACAGCTTTCGGAAATCCCGCCAAATCCTACAGGACAAGTTCACGCCCGCGTCAACGTAACGTCTCCCCACCCTTCTCGGGCCCGCCTTCCAGCCGCTTCGACCACTCGTGAGACCGAGAGTTGGGCTCAAGGACCTTTAGCTTGCAGGATGTTATGGGTTTCCGTCTTCTTTTTCTCCCTCAGGACTAATCCAAAACTTGGGAGTTGCGTTTTTCTCATCCTTTACCAGATCGAGGACTACAACTCCCAAGAGGTTGTGGGCCGCCCGAGACCACATATCCCAGTATGCACCGCGGGCGGGAGACTCAGCTGTAGCTCCTCAGCCCCTCTCCGAAACAGCCAGGCTCTTGGGAACTGGTGGCTTAGACAGTAAAGAATCCGCCTACAGGGCGGGAGACCTGGGTTCGTATCCCTGGGTCAGGAAGATCCCCTGGAGGCGGGCATGGCAACCCACTCCAGTAATCTTGCCTGGAGAATCCCCATGGACAGAGTGGCGGGCTACAGCCCATGGGGGTGACAAAGAGTCGGACAGCTCTGAGAGCTCTTAATTTGTTTCTTAAGGGTCTAACCTGGGGATTTGGCCCTTCAGGTTGCGCTGAGCCTCTAACTCAGACCAATTACGGAGTTCAGGCGCTTTCTAGGCTCTTGCAGATGGTGGAACTGATGACGCTGAAGTACATGGGTGAAACTGGAACAAAGAGCTAATGGAGAGAAAGAAAGGAATGTAAATCTTTTCGTAGTTTATTAAAAGTTGATTCCAGTTTTAAAGGGTGATTAGCGTTTACTGGGCGGAGATGAGATAGAAGACATAAAGCAAATAGCGCAGTGTGGGTATGGAAATTAACAGTGTGGTTAAGGAATACTGTCTGATGAGTGAGGAAAAGTGTCTTACCAGGTGCTGAGAGTTTACGTTTATGTCACTTCTATGAAGAGACATAGGGAGAAGGAAATGGCAACCCACTCCAGTATTCTTGCCTGGAGAATCCCAGGGACAGAGGAGCCTGGTGGGCTGCCGTCTATGGGGTCGCACAGAGTCGGACACGACTGAAGCAACTTAGCAGCAGCAGCAGCAGCAGCATGAAGAGACCTAAGACCATTATAGAACTTTTATCTTTATTTAGGTAATGGGTACATCTGAAAGTTTTTAATACGATGAATCTCATGCTTTAGACCTGTTTTTTGTTCTGCACCACTTTATATTTGTGGAGTGCTTTAAAATTTGAAGTTTTTATTTAATCCTCACATGGTTACCCTGTGGCATTGAAGGACAGATTTAAGGATAGAGTAAAAACAACAGAAACTGTTAGGCAGTGCTTAAAATATTTCAGGCAAGAGATTGTCGA